ATTGGTCATATATGTAGACTTGCCTGAAGAAAGAGAGTTGTTCTCGATGTTCACTTTTAAAGGAATAAAGAGAATTATATATAAATGTAAATAAATTATCCAAAGAGAGAAAAAATTGAGAGATATTTTTAATTTTTTAATAAAAAATGGAAATGTCTATTCATAGGCTTGTTCTTCTTTTCCTCTTTTGTGCAATTTCGATTCAATATATAACGTAGAAAATTCATAGTATATTGCATTTATTTTTATATATTCACAACTATAATATTCGCGCGATCATTTTTTGACATTTACAATACTCGTGTGCCTTGTTCTCGATGTTCACTTTTAAAGGAATAAAGAGAATTATATATAAATGTAAATAAATTGTCCAAAGAGAGAAAAAATTGAGGGATATTTTTAGTTTTTTTAGTAAAGGTTGGAAATGTCTATTCATGATAGAAATGCAAAGAAAGAAAATTATTATGTTTAAAATAATAATTTCATATGAAATACAACATTAAAAGTTACATTATAGAACTTGACTTTCTAAAAGCGTAATAAAACAATCAAATAGCAGACAGAGAAAAGATTAATTGTAAAAGAAAAAAAGTTGTTAACTTAACTAAACCATTTAACTAAATTATTACTTTTTTAACTGGAATATTTAACTATTATAAATCTAACATGACATTTATTTAACTTAAATATTTCAATATCTCGTGAGATTTAATAAATAATTAATCTGTGTACACTGAGAAAAAAAGTTGTTAACTTAACTAAACCATTTAACTAAATTATTGTCTTTTTAATTGGAATATTTAACTATTATAAATCTAACATGACATTTATTTAACTTAAATATTTCAATATTTCAATTTAAAAAATAATAATTTAGTTAAACGGTTAGTTGAGTTAACAAAAACTTTTTTTTCTCAATATACGTGTGTGTGTGAGACTTTAAAAATATACTTGGATATAAATACATTTATATTATTAAACGATTAATATATCTCGTGAGGTTTAATAAATAATTAATTTGTGTACATTGAGGAAAAAAGTTGTTAACTTAACTAAACCATTTAACTTAACTAAACCATTTAACTAAATTATTGTCTTTTTAATTGGAATATTTAACTATTATAAATCTAACATGACATTTATTTAACTTAAATATTTCAATATTTCAATTTAAAAAATAATAATTTAGTTAAACGGTTTAGTCGAGTTAACAACTTTTTTCTCAGGTACGTGTGTGTGTGTGTGTGTGTGTGTGTGTGTGTGTGTGTGCGCGCGCGCGCGCGCGTGTGTGACTTTAAAAATATACTTGTATATAAATACAATTCTCACATACGTCACAGTACGCGTTAAATATTTCGGCAGCGAACTAACACGTCATTCGACCTTGTGACGTCATTTGGCCTTGTGACGTAGCGCGCTATTGTTTACATACGCGACGACCTCCCCTCATTCGCACGGCGACATTCCAACGGAGAAAGTAGCGATACGGACCGCTCCGTATTATCGAATTCTTTTCCTAAAGATACGATCGCGATTAGATCGAAATATAATAATTCGACTATTACAAATGACAAATAATTAACTCTTATAATAAATGCAATTGTGGCGACGATAAATTCATCGAAACGCGATCTTTCATTATTGCAAATAAAAATTGAAGCGAAAGGGGCAAAAATTACAAATTTTCTCGCAATATTCTCCGATTATCGAACTTTAAGAATAATAATTATTTCTTTAACATTGCGTAGAATGAAATTCAATTTCGCCCGATGTTTTAAACTTTCCTAAACTGCATGCATATATATCATATTAATTAAACGATTGCTGTATCATCAATTTACATTACTTTAATATTTTAATCTTATGATTCGCGTTATTATGCATATATTATACATCAACAAATAGAAATAGTTAATTAGTGTAAGAATCGAATGGTGCATGATTTTGGCTTCGTTTAAAAATCGAGCGAATTATTGTAATTTTTGTGTTCCTCTCTTGCAATAATAATAAAATAATAATAATATAATAAAAATACGTATCTCGTATGATTATTTTGCGATCGGGAGTGCCGTGCAAAGCGTCTCGCGATCGTTTCTGTATATGACTGAAATATAATTAACTGAAATGTAATTGTTTGTTCGCGAGTGAATACGTGAGTGCTACGAAAAAACAACAAAGGATGAAACAAAAAAAGAGAAGGACATCTGGAAAAGTATCGGACAGTCAGAAAGCAGGGAGAGAGCCTGAAGCAGCCAGAGACATGCGGTAAGTAATTTATAAAAATTATTTATTATTTATTATTTATATATACTATTTTTAAACTAGATATATTGCTTATTATTTTATTATCGTTTTATTTTTCGATCATTTAAATATATAATTCGGATTGAAATGCAGTAAAACAATCGTAGATCTAAATAATTAACTTAACAAAAAGATCCATAAAAGATGTATTAGTGCTTTTAATAAATAATATCGTATATTTAATCTATATAAAAATGAAATATTCTCTATTTATTTCTACATATTAAATACTATAAATTTAATAGTTATATATTTTGTAAAATTTAATTATAAAAGAATCTTTAAGATATTTCAAAAGAAACAAAGAACTTTTCTCAACATAGAAAAAGTTAATTAAAACAAATTTATATTTATTATAATTAATTTGTATTTAATTTTATTGGAATTTTATTATTAATTTTATTGCATTGTTAAACTCTACGCGATCTCTGTAATGATAGCTATTCACGAAATAGGTACAATGAAATAATCAATTATTATCGCTGAAAAGAGGCAATAATATACTTTTAAATCTAATTTAAACTTTTGATAAACGATATAAAATTTTTTTATTATGATGAGAAATCTTTATTAAAGATCATAATTGCAAATAAAAATGGAAATAACTTCACAAAGTATATTAATCGTTTAATAAATAATTAATCCGTGTGTACGTGTACATGTGTGTGTGTGTGTGTATGACTTTAAAGATGTGTGTTTAATAAATCATTAATCCGTGTGTACGTGTACGTGTGTGTGTGACTTTAAAGATGTGTGTTTAATAAATTATTAATCCGTGTGTACGCGCGCGCGCGTGTGTGTGTGTGGGACTTTAAAGATATACTTGTATATAAATACACTTGTATATAACTTTAAAAATATATATTTCCGTTATGTTAATTATCCGATTTTTATTCGATCGTTTTATTGCGCGTTCTGAATCAAATTATATTTAGATCAAATGATATCAGAGAGAATATTTATTTATTATATTAGAATTCTAAATGTGTGTGTGTGTGTGTACACATATATATTAGGATAGAAACGAAATAGAAATAGAAGAATAATCATTGCTCGTAAAGATTGCAACAAAGTAATAATTTATAATTTTGATTCCTATCGTATAATCGAGTATCGTATTTCGAGATCAATCAACTATTTATTAATAATAAAATTGTATATAATTTACGAATATATTTCACTTATTCCGGATGTTAATATCGCGACAACGACGAATAAACTTTTCAAAAAAGTTCAATTCAACTATTTCATATATGAGACAGTTCTACCAATCACTGATACAAAAAACTCGTCAATTGACTAGTTGGTGAAACTGTTTCAGTCCTGAGTATTTTCTTAAAAGAGCTGTTGGCGCACATACATGTGTGTATTATGTTTACGCGCGTCACGCGTTCGAACGAACCTTGGCATTCTCGCGGGTAAAGTCACTAGATTAACAAAGGCCGGTATTCATAGTCCGATCTTATATTTAAGATCGTCTTAGGTCTGGTCCGAGGTTGACTTGAGACCTCAATCAACCAATCAAATAGCTGCGTAACATTTCAAGCTCGAACTTAAGACGATCTCAAATATAAGATCGGACTATGAATACCGGCCTTAATCTAGTGACTTTACTTCAGCGTTCCTTAACCGCAGCATGAATTTTGATGCATAAATGAAAAGCTACTTAGATAGGAATCCTCAAGTGAGGAATGGGACAAAACCGCCATTAATGGAATAGCGGAAGTGACGGATTAGCGCCATTTTTGAATAAAAAAATTGAATCGAAAATATGTCCCAGGTAGCAGAATTATGTCAAATGACATGTTATTAACGTTTTACGTTATAGGAAAAAAGTTTTTATATTCAAATGATTTGTCTATTAAGGCCTCCTGTTAGAAAAATTTTTATATAAATTTATTTTTGCATTTTATATAATATAAAGGAAGTTTTAAAATAATTTAAAAAATTTGATCAAATTTTAATCATTTGTTAAAGATTATTAAAGTATAAGGGATACATGTAAAAACGATGCAATTATTCGTTTTTATGAATTAATTATAAATCGATTGGCTATCGCATCATTTTTGGTATGCATAAAAATAATGTAATAATAATTAATCAAATTTTTCAAATTCATACATATCAGCTAACTGTAAAAATAAATAATTAATTATAACTATTTAGATAATTGTCAAATTTTTTAAATTATAATACATTTAAACATCTCATCAGCACTTATTTTCGAAATGCTAGATTTGTAAATGTACTAAAAAAAATTGAAGTTTTCATAAAGTGAACACTTCTCACTTACGTTTCTCACTAACATTTTCATTTTTTATTATTAAAAATTATAATAAACAATTTTAAACCTACAATTTCAATTTAATGTATCAGTGCATTGCCAACTGATTATAATATGAAAGCATAATTATTAAAGACAGAATTTTATTTAAATTCTGGAATTGATTAAAATTCCATGAAAACTTTTCAATTTTTCCTGATACAAAAGAAACTTCTAAGAATTTGGGATTCTCCATATTTTTCCAGGGAGTAGAAGACGCCTCTTATATATATGAAAATCTTACGATTATATGTGAAGCATATAAAAAGCGTACGAAATATAGGTAGGAAGAAACCGTGGGGAGAAAGGGAAAGCCGGGGGGACCGGGGCGACCTCTGGCGGAATGAACTGTCAGCCAGAGTACACGACATTATTCGCCGCATTGCTCGGCATTGCTGTCGAAAATGGCGTCGAGTTCGGAGCTGCTGGAGTATTCGTCCCCAGTGAAACGTCGTAGGATCGATGGCGGCGAGCACGAGGTGAAGGCCGTCACGACCCTGGAGGAGCCCCGGCTCGCCGAGACACCGTGTGACAGCCCGCACGATGAGCTCGAAGGTATCGAAAGACTCGCCGAACGAATAATACGCGATTGATCCCGATTATCGCGAAATTCACGGGTTCCTCTAACGCGCAAGATGGCAGCCATTGAACGCTTTTCGTCTCGCCATTACGTTCTCGGACCTTCGATCGCATCATCCGGCCGCCATGACAGTCACGTTTAATTGCGTCGTAATTTTATAGCCGATGCGTTTTCACGATCGTAACGATTTCCCGTCGTGGGCCTACGATCTCGCGTTTTTTTTTCTTTCTTTTTTTTTCGAAATATCGAGATGCCTTATTCTCGCCTTTTCGAAGAGCGCGAGTCAATCGATAAAATCGATCGTACTCACAACTGGCTACGCGTCTGGTCATCGCGTCCTCATTAAAGCGTTCACAGATGGCATTCGTATGTTCGTTTCTTCTAGCTGTACCTTTTGTACCTTCGGCTTCTCTCGCTTTTTTTTCCATAATGCTAGTTTTCTCGTTAATTTGTTAAATTTTTTTAGCAGTATTTATCGCATTTGATATGGAATAAAATTTCCATTCCAAGCTCTTTAAGCTTCGAAGGAAGAATAAATTTTCTGTATCTTCCTAGATTATATGCGATATGCTTCTGCCATTTTGTTGAATCCGGATATTACGATCCGGATATTTGTTTAAATATCACTTGGCGCGAAATATGAAAGTAAGAAATTAATTTTTTAAATTGTATTTTTTAAATATACTTTTATATTACTATATTAAAAGAAATTAATTTTTAAATGTAAAATTTAAATTTTTTAAATTGCATATTTTAAATTTAGAAATTAAAATTCTAAATTTTTTTTTATTACAATTTTTAAATATATTTTTATATATTACTATAACTTAAGAAACGAATTTTTAAATTGAAAAATTAAATATTTTAATTTTTAAAATGCAATATTTAAATTAAAAGCTTAAATCTATTAAAATCACAGTTTATGAATATATACTTATTATTAAAAAATTAATTTTTTAAATTTGCGTACAATTTTATTATTAATTACATGATTGTATTGATAATGAGAAACAGTGAGAAATATATAATTATTTTTAAAATTTTACTATATTTGATATATATTTTTTCATGTCAAAATAAATATGTAGAAGTAAGTTTTGAAATATAAGTTAAAAAATTAATAAAGAAAAAAATATAATAACACATGGAGAAATTAGTTGGTCTAAGTTGATAACATCATATTTTATATTTATGTTTATTATAAGTTTTTTAATATAAATTAGTTTAATATACTATAACGTATTTTTATATTTTATGTTTTTTTTATATTATACAGAAATACTTGGTGCAGACAGTGGATTTAATGAACTGAGTGATGAATCTAAATCTATATCCATATCTCCTGCAATTACAAATCTGAAATCACCATCATCTAGAATTGATTCCGCTAGTAATGGTACTGGTTGCACGTAAGTTCTATTTCCAAATAATTTTTTGATGAAAAATATTTATATATCTATATATATTATATATACATAATTTAAGCACATACAATATATACATAGAAAAAATATCTCATATAATCATATATTTTAATAATATATTATAAAAATAAAATAAAAAAATTATAAAAATAAAATATATTCGAAAACAGTCTAATACGGAAGTTTTAAAATTACAAATTATTTAGTTAATTCTAAGTAATCAAATTTGACTAATAATATAGTTAGTTACAACAATAAATTTTCAAAGAACTTGTATGCACACTTGTAATTGCATCTGTCATCTGATATTAATTTATACAAATCCAATGAATTTGATTAGTAGCAAATTTTAACATAAAGTTTAATAATTTTACTTTTGAGTAATTAAATACTTTTATTATAAAAAAAGAAAATAATTAATGTAATATTTTAAATGTAATATTGTAATTTAAAATTTACAAATATTGTACACACATGTATAGAATAATTATAAGATTTTTTTATAAGTGGCTTTTAGATACCAAATGATACAAGTCAGAAAAATAAAAGCTTGAGAAAGAAAGATCTTATATTTGCTTTGACAAATAAACATGTAAGTGATTTAACTATGTAAACTAGGTTTAACTGACTTTGAAAAGAAACGACTTTAATTTAATTATACTAGATGATAGATTACATCTCAAATCTATTAATAACTTGAAACCGAATTTGGGTGAATTTGTATCACTTGGTCATTTGTACATATATAACACACATCTAGTGAAAAATTAATTCTTTTTAATTACATGTTATTTAATGTAATATTTCAGAATCGATACTACAGACGAGAAAGACGAGATGTCCTCTACTGTCTCAAATTTATCAGATTTATCAGGTTTGTCTGATCTTTCTGGAGATGCAGAAGTCAGTCACCAATGGAGAAATGCTTCTTCATGGATTCAGAAGCAGATGTTGACAGGTGCAGATCCAAGGGACCTCTTACATCATCTTCTCATGGATTCCACATTGATTCCTGAGCAAGTTGATGATTTTACATTATGGAAGGTATCTAATATATTTTATAGTTGTACAATAAGATCAATTCCTGAAAAAATATGACACAAACTGAGACAAACCTGAAATTCCTAGCGATTTTTTTTGTACTTAGAAAAGTCAGGGAATTTTTATGGAATTTTATTCAGGAGATTCAGAGAATATTTAAAAAAATTCTCTCTTTAATAATTTTGCTCTTATATTGCAATTGTTTGCTCTTATAAGCAAACTATCGATAAGCCGTAGTGAATTAAGTGTTTAAAAAATATGTTATAAGTCTTATTAATTATATCTATCTATGTTTATATGTTTAACAAAATATTAAATATACATATAGTATATATTCTTTTTATTAAGTAATTTTTAGCAATAAAAAAATTAAAATGTTATGCAAGTGAAAAATTTAACTTTTGCAAATTTAGTATTTAAAACTCAAATGTATTTCTTCTTCATATAAAAAGCATTAAAAAATATAATAAAGAAATTTATTTATTTTAGTTACTCTAGAAAATCTTTAGAATATTCTCTTCACTTAGAATTTTAAATATAAATATTTGATAAATCAGAGAATTACAAGATTTTGTAAAAAAAAATGTAATTAAATATAACAGTGAATGATATGAATTTCAGATTATAATCAATATGATGTCAGAACCTCCAAGACGGCAAAAGCTTAGACATATAAATACCTTATCGGATGCGGTGCGATTAATTCGCAATAGCAAGAAAATTATAGTCTTGACTGGTGCAGGTGTTAGTGTCAGTTGTGGCATTCCTGATTTTAGAAGTAAAGATGGTATTTATTCGAGATTAGCACAGGATTTTCCAGACTTACCAGACCCACAGGTATTAAAATTTTACATCTCAGTTTTATAGCTGTTTAAATTAAAAATATCTAATTACTATTAATATTTTAAATATTTCGAGATTATGTGTATATACATATATATGTGTATATATATTAAAGTTGAAAGAAATTCATATATGTTTGTTTTAAAAAATTTTTTTATGCATAGTACATCAACGCTTGTGATTTCTTTGCCTAATTGCTCTTTAGCTCTTTGCCTAATTGCTCTTTAGCCATTTCTTTATTAGATTCATATATAATGTTTTGTCCTCTGGTTTGTTTTCAGGCCATGTTTGACATTAATTATTTTAGTCAAGATCCCAGGCCATTTTACAAATTTGCATGCGAAATCTATCCAGGACAATTTAAACCCAGCCCATGTCACAGGTTCATCAAAATGTTAGAGAAGCAGAAAAAACTTTTGAGGAACTATTCACAAAATATTGATACTTTGGAACAAGTGGCTGGTATTAAAAATGTAATTGAATGCCATGGTAGGTACAATTACTATTTGTTTATTATATAAAGAGTTTTGAATCTCCTGAATAAAGAGTATTTGAGTGATATTTCACAATGAAATGTTTTTTGTATTAATTTTTATATAAACTTAGAGATTTTATTCATTTAAAAAAAATAATATTTTATAATTGGGGATAGAGATTTTCATATAAGAATTTGGAAAGGCTTTTTTCCAAGATTTTAAGATGAAAATAGATAATGAAAATAGATAATGAAACATTAATTATAGTTAATTTCGAGCAAATTTAAATAAATTGTCAAAAAAGCTCAATTTGTAAGTCTATATTATATAGTTTTATACTTATTTAATATTTTCTATTAAAGGCTCTTTTGCCACTGCATCGTGTACAAAATGTAAATACCAAGTGAAAGCAGATGATGTTAGAGAAGATATCTTCGCACAAAGGATACCTACGTGCCCGAAATGCCGCATCAACGCGTTGCCTTCTCTATCCGAAATTAACTGCAGCGAGAATTACAGAGGTAAATAGAGAAATTTGTTTTTGTATAATTCTTGCTGATAGTTATTTATTTGCAGTCTTTCGTAACGGCTTATCAATTTCAATATGATATGGAGAGTTAGCTATCTTTAGTGATAGTTTTCCGTTATTTAAGCCTTTGCTATAATGTCGCGAGTCGATGGCCAATGAGAGAACGTAATCTACTCTTCTACGTCTCAAACTAAAATGAAGTTACTGATCCAACACATAAGTCGGTACATCAATCGTAACTGCGAATAAAGCTTCGCTTGTTAATAAGCACATAAAGGTAAACTTCTAAGATTGCACTTACTTACGTGAGTGCCGTGTTTCGTGGCTATTTAGAGCAACGGTTTTTGTCGTTTACCATTTCCTCAATTTGACAGTATTGTGTGTTACGATTGAGCAAAAAAAAATTTTTTTTTGACATTTGAGAGAATTATTCGTTAAGTAAAAAGAATATGTAATTATTATATTCAATTAATTAAATCTATCTCGTTCTTAAAACTTTCAGACTTGGTATCGCAAGGTATAATGAAGCCAGATATCGTTTTCTTCGGTGAAGGACTCCCAGATGCTTTTCATGATGCGATGGCCAAAGACAAGGATGATTGTGATCTTCTAATCGTAATTGGTTCGTCCTTGAAGGTTCGGCCGGTAGCTCTAATTCCGTCGTCCATTCCATCACATGTACCACAGATTCTCATTAACCGAGAACCATTGCCACATCTCAAATTCGATATTGAGCTATTAGGCGATGGTGACATTATTATAAATCAAATATGCCATTTGTAAGTAAGAAGTTTATAATCTATCTTTTATATGAAAGAACTATAGAGTTTTGTACCTGAAAAATCATGGAATTTTATTGAAATTTGAGGATGTTTTTCAAAATTCTCTTTTTGATAATTTTGCTTTTATCTTATAAGCAATCGATATAAACAAACAATTATGCAATTATGAATTATATATTTAAAATATATTATAAACATATATCTGTCTTTGCTTATATTCAATATTTTAACAAAATATTGAATATGCAATACATACTTTTTATTGTAATTTTTAGAAATAAAAAATAAAATTGTTATAATGTTATAATTGTTATAATTGTTATAATAAGTGAAAACTGTTTATCTATAAAGTTATTCAACTTTTATTTAATATATTTACGAAAATTTAAGATGTTAAAGTAACTTGTATTTTTTTTCTTTGTATAAGTAAAAAGAAATCACAATAAAAATTCTTATTTTTAAAAATTGTGTCACAAAATCTTTAAAATATTCTCTTTAACAGAAATAAGATATAAAAGAATATCTGAAAAATCAGGGAATTCTTTTTTATAAATTTTGAATAAACATCCTCTGTGCAAAATATATTTCACAATGTTGATTAACTTTTTATACAATAGATTAAAACTTTATGTATTTTACACAAATATTACTGTAAATATTCATATATAATAAATTTTTATTTAATTAATATTCAATGTTATGATTAATTTTAATTATGATAATTAAAATCCATCTATTGGTGTTATGACAGGTTGGGTGATGTTTATAAAGAGGTCTGTTGGTATGATAAAATCTTGAAGGAAGCTTCACAACTTCTGTCATTACGTCATTTGTCTGATATGTGGGAACAGAATCAAGATACAACGAGCAACACTGAAATATCACGAGATAGTACAGAAATTGATTTCAAGTCACAAAACATAACTTCGACTGAAAATCAAAATAATCTATTGAAGACTACAAATGCAATATCACATCATATGGAAAACATCAATGTTTGCATGCCATCTTTCCATACTGGTCAATGTATCAAAAATGCAGAGGAAAGTTTAAATCTTTTTGGAGAGAGTCCAAAGAGACGATCAGGTGATACTAGTGTAGAGAACAGTTCCAAAAGAATGAATTTTGATAGCACATGTGAATCGAAAAGTTCCGTATCATCGACAAAAATAAATGTTGAATCTGCAATGACTTCATTAGAAAATAGATTTCATGTTGCATCAATGTCGAGAGAGAATTTCACAGAAGAATGTCAGGTGGTATCAGTAACATTATCTCTTTCTTCAGAAGCTATTATAAACGAAAATACCTTATCATATAAATCGCTAGACAATTGTGAAAAATCAAACAACTATGACAATACTGTAATGACAAATGCTGCCGAGTCAGACAAATTGACACCAAAGCCTAGGCAAGTGTCAGTAGATTCTATGTTGGATTCTGGCATGGGTGACAGCTGTAATAGTATCGATAGCACAGAAGAGAAATTCGATATTGCCGAATTGAAGAACAGAAGTTTAGAAAGGCATTGCTGGCAACCAAAAATTCGAGAGAGCCTCGCCATCAGGTTACCAGGTATGTTATTCTTACAAATAATTAGACATTTTGAATAAGTGAAATACAAATATTAATTTGCAATGCTTTACAGAAAACTCGTATTACCAATTGGCGCCAGGTAGATACATCTTTCCTGGTGCAGAGGTCTATTCCGAACCTGAAGATTATGATCAGTGTTCTTTTTCGGCAAATTCTGAGAGCACAGATAGCGACAGCGATTCTTCTTTAGAAGAAGAAGAAGAGGATGAAGAGGAAGAAACATGTAAGTTTCATAATTTTTTTGTTTTTTGCGTTATGTTAGAGAAATAATCAAATCTCATTTATTTTTAAACTTATGCTCTGATAAAATTTTATGTATATAATCACACACACATACAGGATATATACTTCGATATTTTCGTATTCTCAAGGATTTTTGTTTCTTCCATGAAAAATCAGAGAATTTTTATGAAATTTTTTATTGGAATTCAGATGAAAATCGATAATTTTTAACAAACATCTTGTATTAGTTTATTATTTTATCTTTTATATATTAAACATTTTTTTATATTTAAATAAACACACAAACATTTCTTGATAATTTATAATATTTTAAGAGTTTAGATATGTTTTTATATACGTTGTCCAAATTTTATGATTATCTAGCCGATATCAAATTTTAGTACTTTAGAATCTGTATTTTATTTAATACATAAATAGTTATTTTAAAATATATTTATAAGAAATATGAAGTTTTTTAGGTTTAAAATATATTGAAATATATTTTAATTATGTTAAAACACATATATCTTAAATAAATTTATTTTAAAATTGTATGTTGTCTAAAAATATTTTTTTAAATTCTATTTGAAATTTTGAACAAAAATGCTTAGAAAATCATAGAATCAGGGAATTTATTTACAAGATTTGAGTATATATATCCTGATAATCTATTATTAATTATTTAAACAATATTTTAATTATTAAAATAATTTAATTATTATTACTTAATATTACTTTAATAATTATTTAATAATGATTACTTAATATTTAATTTCTATTTTTTTTCTATTCAGGTGCCGATGATGATTTGTCGGAAGGAGCGGACGCTGATGTTGACGGCCAAAATAATGACGTGAAATGGGCGAGTGATTCTTGTAGTGCTGAACAGCATTGAATTCGAGCTACGCCCGTTCGGGTTGTGGTTAGTTTCGATCATTGTTTCTTTATTGATTTTTATAAAAGTTTGTTGAGATTATTTATATAGAATGATAACAGTGCAATTTTTATCGGCTCGATTACGAAGCGAGATATATATGTTAAATGTTACATGTAACAGAGCCCACAATGCACATAACTGCTCTTGTTTATTTAATCGAAAGTTGGGATATTTCTTTCGAATTTTTCTCTAGTTCAAGTAACACAAATTGAGGGATTAGTTAAGCACAAAACTCCACGTATTTTTCTTGTTTTTACTTTAAATAATTGTTATTGAATACAAATTTGCAGTGCCCATGATAAAATGTATATAAGGTATCATTAATCATATAAACGAAATATATCACCTTCCCTCGATTCGCATTCTAATAACACAACTAATAGTTGTTTTTGTCTATATAAAGATCATATGTGGAAATGATCAAAACTGCTTGTAGCTTAATGTATTATTCTATAATGTATGAATTAGTCTATTTAACCTACTTTATACTCGTACAATGTATATATCGATATTTCAGCTTGTCTTTTGATTGCAAGAGACAAAGTGAGAGTGTGACATAATATTAAAAGAAACTACGCATTTTTTCCTAATTGTGCGATAACGTGTAAATGAGATTAATCTAAAAATAATTCCCAGTTGATAAAAATCGCGAATTATTGCATCTATTGTAATATTTTAAACGATGCAAATTTCTTTTTAGCTGCACGATCTTACACTCTTATTGTGTTTAATTAAAGTAAAACAATCATGAATGAAAGAAGATGAAAGAAAATAGAAAAAATGTAGAAAAATGCAACCAAAATTGACAGATCTAATTTTGTGAAAATAATCTATAATGTTCTTTTATTATGAGAATGCATGTAATCATATTTTAAGCACATATAAACGGAATAACATGGAAAATATCCTTATTGAAACTGTAAATCTATAATAATTTGAGCCAAATAGCTTTCTTTGTTATTCCTAATATGAGTACTTTGATTGATGAATAATAATGGAAATAGTATATTTTATTTAATGTATACTACTTTAATAGTATACTTTATTTATATAATACACAAAACAACATGTAAACAAATTATACTGTGACTAATACTGTGCTAAACTAGTATTGATTAAAAATTGAATCCTATTAATTTCATATTATTACGTGCATTATGCTATTTCTGTTATTATAATTAGGATCGTTAGTATTAGTCGAGATCTTCTTTCATTACAAACTTGGGAAAGAGAGCTGGGATGATAGCTTGGGATGATAGCTAATTACAAATAGTATATTTCTATTATAAATGGAATTGAATTTTTTAATACAGTTTTTTATTTAATTATAAGATATATTTGCAATAATTATTGACATTAAGAAGGATCGATTGAATTTTTAATAAATAAGTAATAACTGTATCTTATCTTTATCGGTCGACACGTTGGCAATCACGCACTCACATTCTACCATTAAGTTATATTAATAGCTTCTCGCGTCCCGATAATAATCGTCATAATTCTGCAATGAGAACACACTCTCTTTAGATTCGTTAAGTTCAACTTTGTTTCATTGGAGCACGGGCGAATGTACAAAGCAATGTTGGATAGCTTCGCATTGCATGTTATTTTTATATGAGCCAGAAGAAAGAAAATAGAATAGCGAATTTACAAGATTAAAATAAAATGATGTAATAATGTTTGACAAACCGTCGTTATAATCCGCAGCCGCAGATGCATAATTGAACGAAACATATGTGTAATCATAAAAACAAAACGAAGGAATAACATAGACACACGCGAGAATGATGCGAAAACTGGATGCAGATTAAGACACTTTGTATACACAAGAAGAACGGTTCTGTCAAAGTCATTATTGCAACGTATATCTGTAAGAAATAGAAAACGCGGTTGTGTACGAGTTTACTTTGTGTTTGTGTGTATGTGTATGTGTATGTGTATATGTGTGTAATTACAATGGACGTAAACTTACCTTGATTCAATGCTGTTGCATTGTATGAGTAATGTTTGAAATATATAATTGCAAATATGAAATATGTTAAAAGTATGTATGTGTGTGCATGAGAAGAAGAAAAAGAAAGAGAGAAAGAGATAAATAAATTATACCATAAGTACATATATGTAATACACTTCTAATTATCAATAAGATTTTATGTTATATTACACAAGAGACAATTCTAGAAGAATCGTTTCGTTGCAGGGACACTTTCTCGCTATGGCGATCATTCACAGAGAGAAAGCTCGAAAAATAATATTTAATTCCTTACACTAACAAATAGTAATTTAATAAGATGAGCACACACACACACACGAAAATTATTTTCTAATTTGTATAAATAGTTCTATATATATATACATATTACTATTTTGTTGAACAATGGGAAGAAGACAGATTAGATTATTATTATACTTGGTGAATTTTTCTTTTCTTTTCTTTTATTTATATTTCATACACACACATACATACATATACACATATATATATATATATATATATATATATATATATATATGTATGTATGTATGTATGTATGTATGTATGTATGTATATAGTTTTTACGAATGTACATATACATACGCATACGCGAGCATCCGTGAATAATTAAAGGTTTTCAGATGCCCCCTGATACGTGCGATTTCTTCAAATCTTTGGAAACTTAGATTCTTTGTGATCGACTAGATGTACACAATAATACATATGATGTCACATTAAATAAGAATTAGTTTTTTTAAATTATGCATATGTAATTATTATTCATTCATGATTAGTTTTTTTTTGGACTTTTATATTTTTACTTAATTATATTATTTACTTATATACGCATGCCAGTTACTTAAAAGGAAGATTAAAAGGTATTTTGTATATGATTACAAGACATGTTAATCGAGAAGCGTCATCATGTAATATTATATACATTTAAAAATATATTTGTTATACAAATATATTTTTTATATAGTGACGATTATACGTAAGATTCAATTCAGAAAAAAAAGGAGAGCAAAGGAAGGGAAAAGAAGAGGGAAGGAGAAAGCGAGAGAGAAAGAGAGAGAGAGAGGTCAACTCGTAAAAGTTTGACAATCAATATCAATTTTTTTTATGCAGTAAAGTAAATTCTATATAAATGTCACATAAACATTTATTATTTTTACTATAAATTGCGATTGTTATCATATCTGAATGAATGAATGAAACAAAAAGATTATGTTCAATTGGAGATGTAATATATGTATTACATCACATATATTACGATATTTTAACGTTTTCAATGATACAATATAATAGTATAAAATCTTGAATTTTTTATAATTTGTTATTTAATATAATGTGACTATTATATATGAAAAATTGTTCTCTATTACAAACTTTGTAAGTTTCCTGTTTCTTCGGTATTATTAACGTATAAGCTTAAATTAAACGTTTTTCTATAATAAAATTGTTATATTTATTTTTCCTCCCGTAATTTTCCTATAAAAATAATAGTATGGATATGAAATTTTATAATCAAATCTATTAAAAATTTTAATTTAAAATTATTAATCGCGCTATATATTTTAACAGGATAAACTATATGCTTGATAAAAATTGAATCGATGCTCGTGGTAGAGTGAGTAAAGTGCAGTAAAATAGGAAATTCTTTATCATTTTGCAATAATTATTGAATTTGACTTAAAGAGATGGCAAATGAGCGTACGTTTCGCAACTAGACCATAAGATGTGAGGAATTGTAAAAGATTTTTTTGTTCAGTTTATTACACTTTATCCATTCCACATAAGCATTGGTCAAATCTTTATTAAACCTTGTATATTAATTGAGACATTAAGTGATCGTATTCAACAACTTACCTAAGACAGCACACATTCTTAAAAGATCTTCGTGATAGTCTCTGGATGTATTTTGAATGATATCTGAATATTTATTTCAATGTATTTTTAAAAAATTATAATTCTTGCTTCTGATATCATAATTCAAAATGATGTCAATAAGAAACCACAGGAGTTTTTAAATAAATAATTATGAATAAAAACTGAAATAAAAATTTCTGATTTTACAAATTAATAACTGATTAGTTTTCTACACCAATTTGTCATAGATTTATTAATAATAAAAAACATAATATAAATAAAATGTATATTCAAAAAATATTCAAGAAATTAAATATGCAATCTTAAGTTCGATAAATATTTTAACTAATTTTTTCATTTTACACAGCACATATATATATATATATATATATATATATATATATATATATATATATATTATAAAGGACTCTGTTAAATATAAAATAAAAATATAATAAAATAGCGCTTTGAATTTTGTGGCGTTCTCTTTTGGTTTATAAGATAAGCGATTTCGAAATATAATTTTCATATCACCTCTTTTTATATCCTATTTATATATTATATAATTATATATATATTTTTTGTTTACATTTGCATAAAATTGTGTCTGTTAATACGCTTAAGAATTATTGTTTAGAAATTTTGAGATATGTGTAATGCAGTGTATGTTATGAATTTCTAGCTATTATTGAGGATAAATTTAATTATTTACTTTAACATCACATTATGCATAATGAAATCAAGTGTCCTGAATACTTTATATATTAAGTATTTATTATTAAAATATATTTACTTTTTGTTATTGGGCCTTTTATTTTATAATGAAATTATAAATTACATATTTACTCTCCGCACAAAAAGTTTAAAATAAAAAAAATAAATTCGATATTTACATATTTAAATCTCTAAAGTGAATGTTTATGATGAAGATATTTTTTAAAGTTATTGAGAATCATAATGAAACATATATCCAAATTATTAGGATTCTCTTTTTTAAAGATGTTATTTTTACAATGTTTCAAAATTGCATCTTAAGAATTAAGGAAAAACGTCAAAATTCAAAGCACGTATTAAGAAGTTGTATTCTCTATAATAAATGTCAAAAGAAAAATGATTCATATTGTGTAAATAATACAAACATTTATCAGTATTTCTGTAAATCAAATGTGGAAGCATGAACGATAGGATGAATATAATGAAGAGAATAAATTTATCGTCGTTATATTTATTTGCTTCATTGTTATATGTCATATAATAGTTTTATATCATGTATATATATATATATATATATATATATATATATATATATATATATACACATATATATTTATATATATATAATATATATATCGTAGTTATCATAAATCAAATTTGAAAATAGGCTTTAAATTATAACAATGTACTCTTAGAGAATAATTGAAGCGCTCCCTGGAATAAAGGTCAAAAAGCCCTCATACGATTCCATGAGCTTCATATCATCATGTTGAATCTTATGCGCGTCTCTGGGGAATCGTTTCAATTACATTATATAGTCTCGCTATGTATTGAACACTTGCCGAAATCCCCACCAAGAAAGATTTTCAAATGTTCAATGAAAATGAACATTTTATATATATCGAATATATATCTATATAATATTATTATATTATTACTAAGTCCAGCCGAAATAGCGGGTAACATTTCTCTATGTGTACTTGTTTTTTTCTTTCTTTTTCTTTCTTTCTTATAGTTATGTCTCTTGTGTGTGTATAATATATAATAACTATAATATAATAATAAACATTATTACCACCACACAGCAATAATATTATAATAGCACTGTCGCACTAGGGACGCACAGCTATATTTTTTATGCATTGGCGGCCCACTACCACTTTAACAATGAACAATATTCATTGATCTGAGTAAGGAATCGGTGTACATATTATTAATACAGTGTATATTCGGTTCGTGACATTTTTTTATAATGCTTAGATAAATTCGATTTCGAGAACATGGTCATTCACGCGTGTATGTATGTATGTATGTATGTGTATATATATGTGCTTAATTTAAAACTCGCTAGGAGTATCATACAAATCTGTCTGGTTGATCTGTTAAAATAAAATATGGTCGATCAATAATTGTGCCTATGAAAAAAAAATATATATTTATATATATATATATATATACCGAGCCGGCTGGACAACTGAACCTCATAATCAATAATATATTGTTCGTCTTCATTTCGTTCTCTAATTGTTTTGTTGATGTAACACCAACGTATAACCGCTAATGAGGTTTATACAATTGGGGACATGTCAAACAATGAGCGCGCTCAGCGCGATTAGACACGATCGAGAGTTCAGCGCAAAAAAAAAACATCCTTTTTTTCTACTCAGCAGATCTATTCCGAGCACACTTGAAAGAAAAAAAAAATCGATCAGATTCTTCAAAATAATAGTTACGTGTTCAAGCACAGATGCAAAAGTGGAAAGCGAATAATATCGAGTTTTCCATTTATTTTTTTTTATTTTTTTTTTTAACAGCTTTTCGTAAGTTTTCCTTGTATCTTTCTGTTTTTTGCTTATTCTTCGATCTCACTGTGCATAATTAAGTAATTAAAATTGCGAAGCAAGTATATGCAATTGTTTCGTACTCGTATATCAGTATATTATTACAGCAAATCTTTTATATGATAACACAGTAATCTCTTTTAATTATCTGGTATGAAGAACACAGCTATAGAGTAGAGTCTTTAATATAAATAATTGTATATAATAATTCATATCATCGAATCAAAAATTTTTATAAAAATTCAAATTGATTCTGAATTAAATCCTGAAAGTTAATTATCATTATCGCAAAAGCTGAAGTGATAGTGTAAAATATGAGAATGTACGTTTATGAATTTCATTGCGATGAAACTGACAAATATTCTATTCACGGTAGTTTGAAATATTGCCATATCCAAATCATTTCCAATAATAAGGACGAAAATAATCATTATTATTAATATTCAATTATTATTAAGATGTATTCTAATCAATAACTGATAGGAGCATACAACTATCCGCAATTAATATCTCAATCTGAAGGGATCATATGTCAATCATCAAATTACTGTTATTCGTTTCCATTATGCTAATTTTAAGGATCGTTTATATAGTTATTCGCAAAACGCAACCGCAAAATGATGTATCGTCATGCAATAAGTGAAATAAATTCCAACTTTTTACTGCAAACGCATCGTCTGCGTCCTTTTGCGAATAGAGATGCACAAGACTGGTTTTTATTCTGATTCTTTTTTATACTCTTTGCATTATAATTAAATTAATATATTCTAATAACAGCAGTGAATAATTAAGGACTTCATGTTTTTAGCATGATATGTAATATAAAGAATCTGGGTTTCAATAAGATTATAAATTTATGCGCCTATAAATAATTAAACGAGATTTCAAGTACTATCACTATTACGAATTGCAGAATTTCCATCATCAGGTTTTGTCAATACGATTTGGGTTTTTAATGAGTCCATTTAGTCCACGCCTGAAAATAAACGAAGTTAACATGTGTATACATAATTTCTTGCAACATAGAGCATTATCTCCTTTGAAATAAATTTTAAATATAATAAATCAAAGAAATTTTACTGAAGGTAAGAAAAAATCTTACCGGATGTTGCTTGTCTTGCACAGCATCGGGCATTCCCCATGCTGGTGGATCTATTTTATTCGGTTCATTTGGAGGGATTTCCGCCAGACCAGGTGCTCCAAATTGTCCTGGCAATAATGCCAAGCCTGGCATAAGTGATAAAGCCGCGGTATTTCCATTAGCCGGATAAGGTTGTTGAGTATCTACATGACCCTATATGTGATAAAAAATAACTTACGAGAAATTCTGCAAATTTTAAAGAGCTTAATGTACCATTTAAAGATACATCGTACATCCATGCACACACAATTTACATTGACTTATCATTGACTTATCGACTATTGCCGACCGCTTACAATATAAGATTAAAATTATCAAGGAGAGAATTTTTTCCCTGATCCCATTAAAATTCCATGAGGATTTCCTAAATTTTCCAGATACAAAAGAAATTCCGGGTTTTTCTAGGGAGTAGTCATCATGAATAATCTAATCATGCGAGGGATCATTACCTGAAAAGTGGATTCCATCATCTGATGAAGCTCAGGATCGACATTGGATATACGTTGATTGTAAGTGGAATTTGATCGGAATATTTGATGCCTATCGATACCGGGCGCCAAGTTGCAATTAGAAGGCCAACCTAATTTCTCGTTGAGCATCCAACTAATGGTATCAGCATCTCCGCCCGGACCCATGTTTGCGGCCGAGTAATTTTTCCACGTTGCTCTCTCGGTACCGATCGGTCGTGGAACCTTACGGTCCTCGATTTTCAATTGGTTCATCTCCTGAGTGACTTGTGCCGGTGATGAAGGGGATATGGCCGGTGAACCACCGTTCTCCAGACTTGTGATAAGATCCATACTACCACCAGGCTGCCCGCCAATATTAGCCAAGTGATTGGAGAAACTAATCTGACTCATCATGGGCTCCTGATGCGGCGGATAATTGGTATGCGGTGCTGGTGCAAATGGCCAACGTGTCTGAGCTGTCGTTGAAATACCAGTATTCGCCGCCGGTGCCGCACGTGAAGGCGGCTGATACTTTCCCAATGGGAAGTTGCCAAGCATTGCCAGATTGTTCGACTGTATCGCGGATGGCGGTGGTGCCTGTACGGTGGCCGTGAACATATTCGCCGGATGCAATGCCGATCCGGTGGCAGGATTAAACATCGTTACCTGCGATTTATTGTTCAGATGCAACGAACTGGAAAAGTCGGGAGCACGGGGATTCAACCTCGACATGCTGACGGTGGTGTTGATCACAGAAGTGGCTGGTGCAATGGTCTGCGCAAAGCTCTGCATGTGCGGGTGAAATGGCAATAGGGGATGACCAGCACCGCCCTGATTCTCGTTCGGCACCATCTTCAGCAGGCTAGAATTTGGATGCTCGTAACCACTGGCGTTATTCGCTGTCTTGAACAAGCCAACGTCCAATCCTGGCTGCGACGTAGAGGATGGTATCGTCGTATATACGTGGGTCGTCGGTTGGTGCGACGTCGCATTTCGCGACGTCAAGTCACCTTGAAAAACCGCTGGCCTATTGTACTGTGCTGCTGCCATGTTTGCTCCCATGTCGATACCTTGCTGGGGCATCACTGGTCTAGCCACCGCTAGACTTCCCGGTGGTTTATTCGGTAACGGATGCTCGTTATAGCTTGTTGAAGATTGAAATTGTGCAGATTGCATTGGATTGTTCTGCACGGAGCATGATACCACGTTACCGATTATATTAGTTGATGAGTTACTCGTGATACCTGACTTGCTGGAAACTGGAGAACACATCGTTGTTCCACGATATCCAGGAGCTTTGGCTGCATCCACCTATTCGATGAAATTCAAAATATATTTTATTATTTTTAAAGAAACAGTAAATCATAATTTTTGATAAAAAAGAAAAAATGTGTACACAATTACGAGTGTGACTTACAAAAATAATTAAACACGAATATAATTTACAGTGTACAGAATTTTAATTTTTCCATTAACGAGCATTTTTTCCAAGTTTTGCAAATTTTAATTATTTATCTAATCTCACATTTTTCTTTTTAACTAAGAATGAAACTAAATATTAACATACCTGGGGCGGAGAACTGTCAAACTTAGCCGCAGACGAGCTGGAACCTGTATTTGACGATACACCACCGCCCGCAACAGTCGCGAAATTCATGCCTTTCTGAGTTTCGTTCTCTCTTCCGCCCCACATCGACTGTTGCGTGACTTTGGTGAAAGTATCGTTAAATAAGGAGTACTCGAGAGGTGTGCTACTAGGTAATTGTTGTTGTTGTTGATGTTGTTGTTGCTCTTGCATCACAATTGGAGTTGTGCTACGAACAATTTGTTGCTGTTGTTGCTGTTGCTGCTGCGCTGGCGATGGCGGCGGCAACGTTTGCGTTTGCGACGATATAGGTGGTGAGGATGTCATCCGGATAGAACTAGTTGACGTAGACACGATTGAACTTTCCGAGCAGTTTGTCATCGCCACGGTACTTGTAGCTGATGACGAAATCGCGCTCGTTCCGAGCGGGTAATTCGACTTTCCGGTATAGTGACACGCTATTGACGGGACAGGCAAAGTAGGCAGTGATCGGCAGTGTTTCGGCGACGTACTGATTACAGACTGCTGTTGCTGCTGGTTGTTGGTTGCATGAACGGTCGCTGCGGCCGACATAACTGTCATGACTTGTGCACCAGGCTTCTGTTGCTTATTCACAGGTGCGACATGAGTGGATTGCATGACCGTTGTGGAACTATGGGTCGAGGCAGTGATTTCGGACAGCTTCGCCGCAAACGTTTGCGTCGTGCTAGTCGCGACGATCTTCGTCCCTGCTCTACCAGCAGTCATGATTGCACTTGTATATGACATTGTCGTCTTGGTGTTTGACGAAGAGGCCATTTGCGCGGCTACAGCTTGCGCGCGCTTCTCTGCTGCGTACATACATTTGTCATAAGTTGTTGATAAACACAAGTTGTTGATAAATGTTATATATCTTTTTCGTATTTAATTTACCTGCGGCTACGAGTCTAGGTGCTGTCGCACGTGGTAAAGAAGTAGAGAAAGCACCAGCAAGCTTAATAGTGGACGATGAGCGAAGAGGAACTAATTGGCTTACAGTAGTAGACACACTTGAAGGATATCCTGGCTTATTAACTTGGTTATTGGTTGTACTGGATGCTAGATTAGATGATTTATTTACAGATCCAACTTTTGTCTTGCATGCCTAAAAAGAAAACAATCAACTTATTAAATTATTTCACGTATATAAAGCTTACTGATTTGTCTTATATGTTTACCGCGACTGTGGAAATAGATTTGTCCCACGAAGAAGTTGTTATGACATTGAGCTTTGATTTTGGAAGCATTTGCAATATATCCACGTCAGGATCTTTGATAAGTATTGATATCAATGTATGAGCTTGTTTTGTAGCTTCAGATGATCCCCTGAAAAACAACAAATATGGTAATATAGAGTGATATTCTTTTTATTTGTATCTGTGTGTGTAAAACGTAATATTCAATGCTTACTTAATTGTGATGATTCTTTCCCCTTGGCATTTACTTTGCTTTTCTACTTCGATGTGTGCGCCTGTTGCAACACGAATGGCATTTATGTTACTGCCACCTCTACCTATCACTCGACTAATAGCATTCGGCGGAACCGATACCTTTTTGGAACGAAACGGTGAATTCATAAATCTACCCGAATCATCCGATTGTCCCCTAAAAAATTATGATGCATGTATTAAAGAATATATGTTCATTTATGAAAATAAATTTTTTTTTTCGAATTACAACACACGAAGTCTGCAAATATCTCTAAGAACTATCTTATTTTCGTATCTAAGTATATCTTACTTTCGTACAACTTCCTTCCATCCTTCTTCGCGTTTTCCGCTTTGCTTGGGACTAGTATTACTTATCTTGGTTAATGTGTTCAAAGTATCTCCATCGTATTGATTATAAGACTTTTTTCCTTTGCCAGGAACATAAGTTTCATTGCCAGTCGCTTCGAAATCTTCTCTATCAGCAGGATGCCTAGAGGATTCGAAAACTAATTGACCTTTCAGTTTTCGATCAGAATTGACGGTAGTGGATGTTCTAGTCGTGACTGAAGTTGTAGGTGCGGATACTGCACTGGTAATATTAGTCATAATTCGCCTATAAAAATTATTATAAATACTTAACAAGCTATATTTACAAAAGGATAATTTTTCAAATTTTTCTCTCAACAGAATGTCTATTCGAAACATGTTCAAAAATGTTCTAAAGATTTCTTCAGCTTCCAGGTTTATTCAAAATTCATTTTTATTCGAAATTCATTTTTTGAAATACATATTACATATATTTTTTTTTGTAAAGAATACTAAATATATAAACGGAGGTAAATATAATGCATAACTAAATGAATTATGCATTAAAATGCACGATTCATTAGTTTGACGACTGATTTTTTCAGATACAAAAGAAATCCCTAAGAATTCCAGATTTTCTATGTTTTTTCCAGGAATAAACATCCTATAATATTCAATATTATTTTCTGATAGGTCTGAAAGATTATAAAAAAAATTATAAAAAAAAATTATAAAAGAAATTTAAAAAAATAATAAATAAGAGATTTACTTACTTTTCTGAAGTATTATTTTGGGACTTGGTCGATGTTGCCGTGTTTTGAGATAAATTGTTATTTTGTGTAAGAAGTGCTTTAGGTGAACGCTGCGGGGATGTATTTTTATCGTTGTTACTAGGAGTATTATTCTTTTTTTTCTTTTTATCTTTCTTCTTTTCTCTTGCCTTCACATCGTTGCTACTACAACTGCCCTGACTATTTGCATCTATTCCGCTATCACCCTCCTCTCTATCAGGATCTTCTGGACTTCTGTTCATGGGCGACGGCACGCTCTCCATTCTCTCATCGCCGCCCTCGTGTTCACTATCATCCGCTCGATCGCATTCTTCGTCACCCGATTTCTTTCCATTCTCTTCCTTATCCTCGAAAGTTGTCTCGTTCTTTTTATATTCCTCGTGAAGCTTACGTTTCTCTTCTTTCTTCTCAAGCTTTTTCTTTTTTTTTCTTTCTCGTCTTCGCGCAGCGGCTGCCTTTTTCGATTCTTCTCTTGTCTTTTCCATGTCGAGCTCCTCTAATAGTATAGTAGCATTTTTGTTCGCCTTAGCAGCTTGCGTCTCTTTAGCCGCTCTTATTACTTTTACGCATTCTTGACACTTCTCTAAAAGTTCCTTGTCGCTAACGGTCGCTATATATCTAGTCATCTCTTGGTCACTCGGGAATTGCGTTACGTGATTCACCATCCACTTGACTACTTTAATGTGACCTTTTCGAAAAGCAGCCATCAGACAGGAAACCTGATCGTACAGAAGGTATTTGTTTAAGATTAAGGAAAAAAAAAGATTATTCTATTAATAATCAAATTTGCGTACACACCTTACGATTATCTTGCGAATCGATATCCGCATTTGCATGGTACAACAGGTCTACGACACTAAGATGACCGCCATTTGCAGCTAACCATAATGGGCTGTTTCCTTTTTTATTTTTTACTTCGACTTGAGTCCCTCTAGAAAATAAATTAGTAAATTATTAAGGATATATCCTTATGAAGAATTCAAACACATGGAGTGAATGTATAAAAAAATTACTTCGTTAATAAGAGTTCCACGAAACGGCAGTGACCTTTATCAGCAGCAATAGTTAGGGCAGTATCACGAGACGATGGGACAGGTGTTGCGTTAACATCCGCACCTTTGCTAAGTAACACGCGGCCAACCTCTACGTATCCACCGCTAGCAGCTTCCATTAGCGGTGTTAGACCCGTCTTTATAAAGAGATGAGAAAAAATGGTTATAAGAGACTCACATATATAATTTATCATTTTAAATATATTACCTTAGCTCGATGTTCAACATTCGCTTTTCGATCGAGAAGAAGACTAACAACTTCATGTCTTCCTTGGAAGCACGCAAGTGTCAATGCTGTGTTACGATTTGTCTCAATTTGTGCATTAATATCACTGCCCATATCCAACAGTAATTTAACTGCCGCTGTAAAATCAATTATATATTTTATAATCTTTTAATATTAAAAGTATAATATAGAATTGCTTTACACATACACATATATTGGTTATTGATTTATAGATAATTTCTAGCTCTAATTAATCTATTTCTTACCAGTATGTCCATTCATAGCAGCAAGCATAAGTGGAGATATACCCAATTTCGAACCGGTACGAGAATTAATTTCGGCACCATGACTGAGTAGAAGTTTTATTATATTCACATAACCGCCAGATGCTGCGAGACTCAAAGGTGTATAGTCAGAAACATTGCGATGTTCCTTATTTGCACCGCGATTAAGTAGGAGTTCGACTACTTCGTATCTGCCTCCGCTACACGCAAGAGACAATGGTGTATCTTTAGTACGTTCAGATTGTGCTTCAATGTCAGCCCCATGATTGAGCAGACCATCGACTACTTTCTGGTGACCCGCTGTTGCAGCCAAAATGAGTGGAGTAAATCCTTTCTTATCTCTATGTTCTGCAATAATATTGTATATCAGCTTCGTGTGTATCTATTCGTTTCATAAAAAAATTTACCAAGAATAAACAAGCACTCTCTTTTGCCTCTCTTTTTCTTAATATTACATATTTTCTATATTACAAATTACTAATAATTCTTAATAAAATTCTATATTTATATATCTTTATAAAATATTTTTCTATATTAAATATAAGACGAAAATAAATAATAATAACACTAATACTGCTCGTGTGTTGCAAAGCAATAATAAAAATTCTAGAGCCAATAATACGAGCTAATTACTAATTAAGGTCTAAATAAAATAAAACCAATATTAATAAGTTCATTTAATTCAATAATCACAAACGTTTCGACTTTACTTAGTATGAACGACTCTTCCTCAGTATGAAAAATAACAAAATCAACATATTAAAATCATCTGTATTTCTTTAACAATATTATTCGTATGTCGCAGAAAAGTAAGTATAAATTTAGTCAAAATATTTAATTAATATTGATTTATTAACTGATTAAAAAAATTTTTTAAATTGTTTACTAATTGCTTCGAAATCTTTCCGACCTTTTGAGAGGGATCAAAGTTGACTGAGAATCGGTTAATAAATCAATATTTTTAGATATATCTGAGAGTTCGCATGGACTATCATACTCAGTGATGTCCTCAAAATCTAATGACGGAGAGTTGCCTCCTTCATTGTACATACATATTGCATTTTCGCTTACCTATATCTGCACCACGACTCACAAGAAGATCAACGAGATCTTCATGTCCTCCAGCACAAGCTAAAGTCAATGCTGTGTCGTGATTGCTGTCAGTTTCTGAATCAACCTCCATACATGAGAATGGAGCAGGTGGAACTTGTTGGTTGGTCGTGTATCCTGTGACTATTGAAACAATATATTGTATGTTTATCAATTGATTGTATCACTAGTTGACTGAGAATCGGTTAATAAATCAATATTTTTAGATCTGAGAGTTCGCATGGATTATCATACTCAGCAATGTCCTCAAAATCTAATGATGGAGAGTTGCCTCCATCAAACTCTCCGAGATACAGCGACATATAGTCACTCGCATTTTTAGAGCAGTATTACAGTATCGTATAGTTCTCACCTGTCGCTGGATCCATTTGAAAATTTTGCGCCGAAAAATTGGAAGTTTGTTGGGCATTGGCAGTTTGTTGTTGCTGGCAAGATTGCTGTTGAGTTAGGAGAGGATATCTGGTCTTTTTACTTTTACCGGATATTGGCGCAGTATACACTTGTTTCTTATCAACAGCGGCAATATTCGAGGAGGTTGTAATAGCAGGTGCTTGAGTTTGAGTAGCGACTTGAACTTGATTAGCACTACAAGTTGTAGATTGTGTATAACTGCTTGACTGATGAGGCGGTATACTATCTATTATTCCCGTTGCTCCACTCACGGCTGGTAATGTTTGTGTAGGAAATGCTGAAATAGTGAGAGAAAATTGAGAGAAATTAAAAATCACTATAGCAAAAATTCAGTAACAGTATTTGTATTAAGTAAATACTGTACTAATAATTAGTGTACATTGAACTACTTACTTATTTGAGAGGATTGAAGCAATAATTGAGGCTGAAAGGTATCGCTGCTAATATGTTGCATACATTCGCGGAAATGTATGCTACCCTGGCGAAAACCTTCCTCGAAAGCTCTTAAACGATTTTTCAGCGCTGGATTTTGCAAGGATTGTGTACTCGTTAGTTGTAATCCCGCTGATATGTCTGCCTCTATCTGAACGCCAGCACTAGTCACTTGCAGTGATGGTAATGTAGGTAGAGAGACCGATGGTACTGACAGCACAGGACTAGTGAAATATTCTTGAGATACATGAGGACTTCCACTTTGCTGTACTATTTGAGTTTGCAAATGTTGCTGCTGTTGTTGCTGCTGCTGTTGTTCTTTGCTGTTATTCGACATATCCAATCTTTTCAACTCAAGTTTTTCTTGGTCTTCTATTGCTATAGAGAAAAAAGATGAAACAATTAATTTTATTAATAAATTTAATTGTCAAATTTAAGAAAAAAATATTTACTATCAACTGCATCATCAAAATTGATGGAGCGAAAAATTTCAAACGCATCATCAATTGGAATATCTGTGCCATCCTCCAATTTCAACATTCTTTCGTTAGTGGAGAATGTTTTAGATTTTTGAGCTCCAGTAAAAAATGCACAAGCGCTTTCTCTGTACTTTCGCATTAATTCAGGATCCATTTGCTCGGGAAGAATTTCTTGAGCCGGTTGCTATGTCAAAAATGTATGTTTTTTTAGTGTATATTAGATGTTTTTTAATGCAAACGAAAATATCGGCAATTAATAATTTAATAGCACATACCTGGCTATGTAAATGATGATGCGTAGGATGCAAATGCGACATCAATTGAGTGGGCATCAATATGCTACTCGTATTATTACCGATCACATTCGTTTGCTGTTGTGAATGAGGTTGTTGGTGAGATTGTTGTGGTTGCGATTGTGGCTGCTGGGATTGTTGTTGTATCTTATATAAAAAAAATTTTATATACATATATATATATATATATATATATATATATATTATTTTCACAAATGAATATATATATATATATATATATATATATATATATATTCATTTGTGAAAATTATCCTATGTGTTGAGATCTCTCATTGATATCATATTGAATGACATCAGAAATGGAAAATTGTTTTTGAGAAAATAAATTATTAAAATTGTTTTTTTCATTTATTGTCACTTGCATTTAAGGACAATAGTATAAAATAAAATTCACTTTTTGAAATTTATGGGTTAATAAATGTGTAATTAGAATTTAAATTCAATTTAAAAGTTCAATTCATTGTTACAGGACTGTTTGAACATTTTTAATAGAAACGTAAGATAAATACAGATAAGAATCATATGTACATTTATTTATACTATTAATCAAATGCAGAATAACAAAAAAAAATTTGACATATTTACCATTTTTACCATCTAATATCAAATAAATGATAAAAAAATTATATTAAAAAATTTATTTATTTCGATATATGCAAGAAAAAATATCTTTTCATTTGATGTTATAATTCAATATAACTGCAAGGAAATAGAAGTTTTGAATCTAGTTAACGCTTAAAAATTTACCGAACTGAAAATATATACATGGGAGTAAAAATTCACCTGCACTTGATCTAGCTGAAGTTGCAATTGTTGGTTGAGTTGCTGCAATTGTTGAACTTGTTGCACTTGATAAGAAGGATGCTGTCGTTGCTTCTGTTGATATTGTTGTTGAAGACCGGCCATTATGGTCGCCTGTGTTTGCTGTAATTTCGCCATCCCCATGCCGGATGTGGCTTTTCGTATGTTCTTCCCTTCTTTCTTGGATACAGGTTTGGCTTTTGGACGATCGCTTATAGCGGTATTTTGGCTAACGTCACTGCTTGCGGTAATAGGCGATTGAGAAACTGCTATGATGGTCGGAGAAGTAGAAATGCTCGGTGGACTGGGTGTAGCTGTTGAGGAAGTGGTGATCAGTGGCATAGGAGTAGCGGTCGTAGCAGGCAACGACGCAAGAGACAAAGGAGGCGAAGAAGGAAAAGTATCTGTAGGAAACGTTTCCATTGCATTAGAGGTAACGGACATCTTCGGATAGTGTGCACCTTGCATTCCCATTAATTTACTATCAATGTAAGCACTGCACACTAATGCTGCATCACCAGTTCCTTGGTACAATGAATTGCCGGTCATACCAGTTGTACTGCAAACTAAACCTTTGGAGCAAAACAATTATGTTGAAAGTATTTGCACGAAAATCTTTAATAATCTTTAATAAATAATAAAATGAAAAAAGTACCATGAGATGTCGATTGACCTGGTAAATCAATGTTTAGTACGCTTGGTAATAATGCCTCAGTCTCGCTAGGATCTTGTTGTTGTTGAGCTTGATTTGCCGTGGAATTTCGTTGGCTCGAAAATAAATGTCCCGCACCCTTAATGTGCAATTCTCGCTCTACCCTCTACAGAATAATTATATGATTTTAAAAGAAATATATATAAGACAAAATATAATAAAGTTGTAAAATGTACAATATTAAATATTATTTCAAGTATTTTTTTTGCTTTTTTAACTTTGTTAATTTAAGAATTAAAATAAAAAGAATTAAATTAAAATAAAAATTTTTGTATTTCGATAAAGAATTTTATCGAAAGAATACTAGTACACAGAACCTCCTTCCTCAAGTATACATAATAGTACACAAAACATACTTGTAATTCCTCAAGTATTTGTTGTTTATGAAGAATTTGTTCTTGTCTAGTATTTTTCCGACTCTCGGTGACATTTACGCCTTGTGTCGACGCTGTTGATGTTGGACTGAGACTAATGTTAGGTTCCGACAAACTCGTGAATCCTCCACTGCCTTTATCGAGAATATTAGTATCATCTTTGGTAATAGCGGTCGGTTCTCCTGCAGGTTGCGAACGAACTTGTTGCGCTTCGGCAGAAGTAAGACTCATATCGGGCATCATAGTCACTGATCGATTCTTTCTCAATAATGATTTTTGTGTATTATGTTTGAGTTGTAGATTTTGCGCTTGTTGCTCAGTGGTCTGTTGTTGTTGTTGTTGCTGCTGATGCTGAGGTTGCGTAGATGTTTGCTGAGGGTGAGGTACATGTTGTTGGTGACTTATATGCTGCTGCTGCTGCTGCTGTTGTTGCTGCTGCTGCTGCGGCTGTTGTTGTTGTGGTAATAACATAGGCCCAGAGGCAGCACTATGGGGGGCACTCATCATAATACTATGAGGATAATCCAATAATAGTTGAACAACAGCAGTATGACCACCTTTTGCAGCTTCTATCAGCATGGTAGAGTTATCCTATAATACATTAGATTGCATATTAATGAAACTTATATGTAAAAAAATCTCGAGATACTTTATCAATATTCTACAAAATGTATTGAAAAATTAATACATTATTGATGATATATCAATCTTATTGCTATTATAATATTTTAACATTCAAGTATATATATATATATATATATATATATATATATATATATATATATATATATATAGATTAGAAATATATAATTCTTTTTTTTTATTGAAATGTTTCAAATACAACATACCTTCAATTTATGAAATGGATTTGCAGAGTTTGTTAGAAGCGTTTCAACTACCGCAAGGTGACCACCAGCGCATGCCAATGAAAGAGGAGTATGATCATTGTTTGTTGTTTGTCGATTAACATCAGCACGCTTCGTAATAAGGAATTGAACTGTGCATAAATGTCCTGCTCTACAAGCCTTCATTAATGGAGTTCTACCTCCCTCTGATTCATGCTCCTATAATACAAAATAAATTGATGTAGATAATTCATACTTTTTGATTTTGACTATAGACGAAAAAAACAGAAAATTTAAAAATATATAAAAATAAAAATAATTTGTAAATCCATAATTATATTAAAAAGCATACTAGATCAGCGCCAAATTGCAGTAAAAGATCGGCAACATCAGTGTGACCATTCTCACAGGCATATGTCAATGCAGTGTCCCCCGTTTGCGTCTGAGCATGAACATCTGCTGCAGATTCCAGTAAATATCGTACAAGATCTATATGTCCTTCCTGCGCAGCTTCCATCAAAGGAGTAGATGCACCTAATTCTATATCCGCTCCCGCCTTAATTAAAAAATCGGCAACTTCCAGGAAACCACCACAACAAGCCAAAGTAAGCGCCGTCTCTTGAGTTTCCTCAGTTTGGGCATTGATGTTTGCACCTTTTTATTAATTTTATATATATTCGATTATCTCTTTTTATTCGATCATTTTTATTTATCGCTTAACAATCTATCTAATGTACCTTGACTCAAAAGTAAAGCGACCATTTCTTCGTGACCTTCACGCGCTGCCTCCATTAACGGTGTGTAACCTTCATCGTTAACTTCTTCGATGTTTGCTCCACGCTCGATCAGAAGCATAGCCAAGTCTACATGACCACCACAAGCTGCCAATGTTAATGGTGATTCAAAGCTATCTGTCGGCATATTCACTTGGGCACCTGAATCTAAAAGTAAACGAGCAACTTCCACATGACCATCCATCGAGGCTTCCATGAGAGCTGTATGCATTTCGTCAGTCTTGTGCTCCTGTAAAAAATCGCAAAAGTATTCATATTTATCTTAAATTTAAAGTTAAATAAGTAATAAATAGAGAAACGAATGGAGGATTACACGAGCTCAGACATATTCCCAAGTTCAGACAATCCATGGTGGAAGTACTGATATATGATACATTTTACACATTTTTCAATTAAACAATCGATAAAAAATGGTATCTAGGGACTAGAAAAATATGAAGTACGAGTGGGTGAATCGAAAACTGAATGAAAATCCTTTGCTTTCAGACTCATTTTTTCAGATATTCTTATTATTATATATATTATCTTTATGCTTTTAACACTTTTAACATAGAAATACAATAATATAGTATAATTTCAAAAAGATATCCTAATCTTTACTAGTTAGTAGCTAGACTATAGATATTAGGCAAGCCACAGTCTACAAGACTTCTAAAGAATAAAATAATTCCCCACTTTCTGAACAAAGTCAATGTTTTTGAAAGTGGACAAATAACGTTAAATGAATTTTTAATAAAACAACTTTGATATATTTTTTCCTAAATAATTCTCTATAGAAGATACATATATATATAAAAATAACTAAATTCATGTAACGCGAGCTAATGCAAGACGAATATGTCATAGTGTTAAATTAGCATCAACCAATCACACTATATTACCGAAATGTTTTATGAATTAATAATGGTAATTAAAGGGCAATTAACTAAATTCATAAACCTCGTCTTTTCCATTTCTCTTTCGTTTAGAAACTATGAATTATATCTGAAAAATTATGATTAAATTTTAGAAAACAGATTGTAGAAAAAAAGAACAGAAAAATTCTAAGATACATTCTAGTTGATATAATAATTTCAATTGAAAAAAAAATTTGAAATTGTGGTTTTAATCAATGCTTATGAATGCTTTTCTTTTTCTAAATAGTAAAGAATGTTTATTTGTTTGATTAGGCAATTTTTTTATCTCAATTGGTCAATCAAATGCTTCGAGACATTTGAAAATGTCAAATGAAATGTGCTAAAAAAATACATTAATTTCAATATTTGTATTAACTAAATCTCTAGTAGAATGTATCCCTAATAGAATGTATCCCTAGAAATATATAGCCAATACATACAATTCTCATTTTGATGTTATTGGTCGGAAAAAGTTACAATTTCTTTTATAGATTTTTGAATACGAAGAAGTCATGAGGATTATGATTCATGTGTTTTCCAAATTCACTGCCAGTACTGGAAATCTATTTCATATTACGTATATAGATCTTTAATGTTGTTAGTGAATTTTGCAAGACAACCGTAACATATTTTGTCCAACAAATGGAAATACACAAAAACTTCCTATTAATATATATTAATAAGAAATTTCAAATTTTGTAACGAAAATTTCCTGGTTTTCTAGGAACTATTTTATATTTTATTCTTGTTCAAAATTCCAGGTAAAAGAGAATTCTTTAGGATTTTTTTAGACACAATTTTGGACTTTCTCAGAAGTTTTTTTTATTGTGTACATTTTCTAATATTTTTTATTTATACAAAAAAAATATAAAAAAGCCACTTAAGTTTCAAGTGCTATAAATTTGAATCAGATTAAAAATTACAATGAAAAATATGAATATGAATTATCCATTCTATATTTTGTTAAGACATATTCTATATTCTATATTCTGTTAAGACACTGAATATATATATATATATATATATATATATATATATATATATATATGTTGTGTACAATATATTTTAAACACATAATTAATTCTTATCATATTTAACTCTTATCAACTGATTACAATATAAGAGCAAAATTATTAAAAAGAAAAATTTTTTTAAATCTTTAAGTTCAAATTCCATAAGAATTACGTGATTTTTTTCAAGAATAAAAAAATGCTTAAGAAATCAGATTTTCCATGTTTTTACCCTGATATAATTCACACTTGACAACTTGACTTATTGGAGAATTGCCTAAGACTAAAATAAATTATCAAAGAGAAAATTTTTAAAAAAATTCCTCAATAAAATTTCTTAATTTTCCAAGTAAAAGAATTTTATTCCATGTTTTTCTAGAAAGTAAACACCCTACATAATCATCATTTTGTAAACATGACTATTTTGTTACATCTGGAAGAAAATCAAACAATAATTACCTGATCTGCTCCAGCTTCCAATAAAAAGCGAACCATTTCTAAATGTCCTTTATAGCAGGCCAACGTTAATGCCGATTCTTTAAATTCATTGGAATGAGTATTAATACCAGCACCATGTTCAAGTAAGATCTTGGCAACTTGAACATGACCAGCACTTGCTGCTTCCATTAAAGGTGTATGACCATTCTCATTATGATCTTCAACATTAGCTCCCGCTTCTAATAAGACACGTACAACTTCTTCATGTCCACCGGCGCATCCATACATGAGAGGTGTATTACCTTCAATTACAAACACAAATATTTTGTAATATTATTCTGAACGAATTTTCCTCGATTAATATTTGCAATAGAAATTTGAAATAAATGAAAAATTAAGCACATAATTTAAAGAAATATGTATAATAAGAAACAAAGAGCTACTGTGTAATTTTACCTGAAGTAGACTGAGCATTGACATCTGCTCCATGAGCGATCAACAGACTCACGATATCTACGTGTCCTGCACTGGCGGCTTCCATTAGGGGCGTACAGTCCCCTTTGATACCACGATCTTCTACATTGGCATTCATCGCCAAGAGGACCTATTGTAAAGACATGCAATAGATGAATTTTTCATCTATGCAAAACTAATTATAAATAAATTTTATTTTATAATTGTAAAATTATAATACTAATTTCATGTTAATTAATATAATAAATATTGAATAAACAAGGAAAAAAGATTATAAAATCTAACATTAATACTTTCTGATAGCATACAAATAGTGAATCTTTCTAGAAGGATTTATTCAAGTACCTAATTTCTTGTTACTTGTATTATACTTGTATTACACTTGTATTATAAAGTAAAAAAGTTGTATAAATTCTTTTATTGCAAAATATGTCAAGATAAATTAGTTTTGTCAGAACTCATGTTTTATGATAATAAATTGGTAAAATATATCGAAAATTCAAGATTTATGGATAAATAATTGTAAATTTTAAATATAAAATCCATTTTTATTATTTATTTATCCATTATTATTATGTTTATTATTTATTTATCCATTATTATAGGATACATGCAGATTGATTTATTTATAGAGGCATTCATTAATAGAGTAATATATCAAGATAATAAAAGTTTTTAGTACATCTTATCAATCTGTATTATCCAAATGTAAATAGTAGCATATAAAAAAACTAATTTATTTCGGTATATTTCAAAAAAATTCTCACGCTTGAAGTCATAATATAGCTACAATGAGGAAATAGTGCCTTAATTAAAGTAATTAAAAAGTTTTAGCTAATTAAAATTCATTTATGAGTTTTATACAACGTGTAGCCTATAACACAAATATATAACTGCAGACTAGAAAGAAATAAATATATTACAATATAACTCTGGAATGTAAGTCCTATAAAACTAAACTATATTTACTTTTAAAATAATAAAGAGAATAAAAAGTTATAAATTATACAAAGTGTCTATTCAAATTTTGCAAAAATATATCTTGCTTTTCCAGATATTTTTCCAGACATTTCAGCTAAAAAGAAATATTTTAAAGATTTTTTTATGCAACTTTTATAAAATAAAATTGTGATGTATGCGTCTCCTGATGCTTTTCACTCATACAACAGAAAAACATTGCTATATAGAGCTATTTTAAGTGTCAAGTGTTAAATTTGCAAATGTATTAAAAAAAAATGGTTTAGATCACTTGCATAAAATTTTAATTTTTTTACTACTAAAAATAAAACAAAAAAATATATATACTGTATACTCAATCTTTTTAAGACATTAAATATATAAACAAAGACATTTATAATGTGTTTTAAATATATAATTTATAAGTTGGATTATTGAGATTGTTGACTGTTTATAATATAAAAGCAAAATTATTAAAGAATTTTTTTTCAAAAAGTTTTAATAAAATAAAGCGTTAGGTCCTAATAAAATCGCATGAAAATGATTTGATTTTTCCCAAGTACAAAACAATTCCTTTCAGATTTAGCATGTTTTTTCAAGAAGCAGATAGGCTGTATATGTATCATTAAACAATTATTAAGATATTCTTATTCTCTTATTATAATTATTAAGATATTCTTATAATTATTAAGATATTATTCAGATATTTTTGCAATATTTGAATGACTGTAACAAGTAATGCATGCATATGTGAAATAAGACAATTTAAAGCTATAATAAGATAATAAATTTGATATTATTTATTTCTTTACTAACTTTTTTGAGGTAATATGAAAATTATAATGCTAATATAATATAGTTACTCAAATTAATTATTAATATGAATTATATGATCAACTTGCGCCAAATGAAAAATACATATATATATATATATATATATATATATATATATATATAATATATATAGATACACACACACACACTATGGAAAAATATGGCATATATAATTTTGATCAAAAGAAAAAATAATTTACACAAAACAGATTTCACAATTTATCTACTTTTATTTATCACGCACCATAAGAAAAATATTGAACGTGTCCCAAATATTATATCTCTCCATAATATATAATCATGCACTTGAATAAAATATCCTTCGAAATGTCATTTCATGCAATTCAATGAGGATTGACATGGGGAATTTTTTCTTTTAAAAGGAAGAACATTATTTCTAACTCAAACCTGAGCAAGTTCGTAGTAACCAGCTGAGCAAGCTAAGGAGAGTAAACTTTCTCCTTCCTCAGTAGTTTCATGAACGCTCCGGCCCTCTGTCAATAATTTCCGAACGGTACCAACGTCTCCGTCGGTGCAAGCCTCGACGAGAGAGCGTTTTTCGTTCGGCGTACGTGGATTGTCACTACGCATACGTGTTAATGCGGCCGCAGCCTCGTCCAATGCACAAGAAACACTAGATGTTAAACGACGAAGCACTTCGTGGTCGGCCAAGTGCTTCCCATCACCCGATGATAATTTTCCGATTCCAGCTGCCTCAAGGAGTGCCTCGAGACGCGCTTGAGTTTCTGGATCCACGGAACGCTCAGGATCCTCAGGAGTCAATAAAAATTTCGAGGATTCAGGATGATCTTCGTCCAATTCAACTTGATCAATCGCAAAACACTCCACCTAAAATTGAAAATATTGCTAAAATACATATTAAACAATACACACATACCGATGCAACAAACATAAAGTTAATTATATATAATTATACATATAAAATCACATATAATTATATACAATCAATTAATATAATTTTATACTTTATATTTGTTTATATCGATCTCTCGTCACGAGAGAATCTTGGACGCATCTCGCAGTTGATTATATTATAATCGCCGAACAAAGGGACGTGTAAAATCGCATAAAATGGACGTCGATTCCCAAAAATTGATCGCCACTCAACAGATTAATCGAGAAATGCAAAAACACTCCCCCGCAAAAGACATTCTCATTCTTTCGGGCCCCCAACACACACACACACGCACACACACTCGGTAGACAGGATATTCGGTATCCGAGATATAATTTCGCGTGTTGCAGGCAAATGGCTAAGGCCGCGGGACGTCAAGTGACATTTCAACATTTTGACAGTTGACAAGTGCGCGCGTCAACGGTATCCTTCCCGGAGAAGCCGATCGCGACACCGATGCCACTTCCACGACGGGGATTCTGCGTACACTCCACCGCATACCTGCGCATCGTACACCCGTTTGTTTGCCCTCTCCTCGCCCCTCGTCGCGCGATATAATCGGCCGAAGCAGCGCGAGGACGAGCGACATTCGCGTTGACGAGGGACGTAGGCGACGTCGGGGATCGAAATTAGGATCGCTTCCACGTCATTGATGCACGGGGAACGCAAGTATGCACGCACGAACAGGGCAACCTCCGTGCGAACGCCGTTGATAGGATACGAAGGAATAATATGGTGGCTCTGCTATCCGCGATTGCCTCCACGAGTACATCGACTAGCAGCAGCACACGCACGAACGCACACGGGCGAACCGATGCACACATACACGCTATAATATACATGTACGATACGTCGCGAGATGATGTATGCAGGGAGATACGTACACAATGTGCCACGAAATACACACAAAGTGGCAAGCGGAGAGATTGGTATACACGAGCGAGTTAACTAATGAGCTTTGACAGATTGACTCGCGTCAAGACAGATACGGGGGGCTAATCGACATCTCGCGACTCGCGGATACTCGCGAGAGCACGATGTATTACGAGAAATCCGCTAGATAGCGCACCAATTGAGATGTGAACAAACGCAAGGCATGCTCGCGACTCGCACGGTATCTTATGTATTGTATATACATCGCATGCATCATGTGTATATATCGCGACAGTAGTGTGGGCGATAGAGTGTCTATTCAAATATGGAAAATAGTCTTTTAAATTTTCCTGATATTTTTCTCTAAAATTCCAGATAAAGAAAATGTTCTGAAGAATTTTTGGAAATTTTCTCAAGTTCTTTTTTATTACGCTTCTCGAGGGAAAAATATAGAGCTGCTCAAATTTCAAATGCTAGATTTGCAAATATATTAAATATACGAAAAAAAATTAAACAGCTTTCGTAAGCATTTTTCATTTCCGTAACATTTTTAGCTTTTTATCACTATATTTCAAACATAATTTTCACTCGCTCTTGCCTTGCCAATTGTTTACAAAAAGAGAAGTTTTCTAAGAAACTTTTTGTGAATCCTAATAAACTTCGACGAGACTTCTGATTTTTTTTCAGGTACAAAAGTCTCCAAGAATTTCAGATTGTTTTTTTTTTTCTGGAAATAGACATTGATATTTTTTTAAATTCCTCGAGTCCCAATAAATTTCTATAAGAATTGCCTGATTTTTGTATAAAAAAAAATCCATGAAAATTCTAGATTTCCAATATTTCTGCAGAGAGAATAGACTCTAATTTTTAAAAAAATTCTTCGAATCCTAACAAAATTCTCCTATTTTTTTATAAAAGAAATTCTGAGAATTCTAGGTTTTCCACTTTTCTTCAAAAAGTAGACCTGATTTTTTTTATAAAATTCCATGAGAATTCTCCATTTTTCTAGACACAGAAGAAAGCCTGAGAGTTCCAGTTTTCCCAAGAAGTACTCTAATTTTTAAAAAAATTCCACGAAAATATTTCTCTAGCTGCAAAATTCTGAGAATTTCCGATTTTCCCGAAAGTACATACTTTAAGTATATGATAGCAGGAATATATAAGTGTACACTCATCACGCATATAATGCGTGTGTGTTAAATGTGTATACATGTGTGGTACGATAGTTAAATATATTTGTATACGGCTTCCTGCGTGGCTACGCGCGCGTTTCGTACACGTGTGCGCACGCGCGTGCTTATGCGGGGCATACTAGTTTAGAAGCGACTATGTACTTTATTAACCAGTGCCTCTATGCACGTACATACACAGACACTCGTATTTATTATATACGCTATATTCATTCTTCCCTTCTCTTTCACCTTCGTACTCGCTCAGTCGCTGTCTCGCTCTCTCTTTCTTTCTCCTTCCCGTTCCTCCTCCTCCCCCACTCTCCTCTCTTTTTCTCTTTCTCTCGTGGAACACGCAGAGATGCCAAGAAGAATGGGAATGGCATTCGAATACTGCACCTTGGTGGTCGCGTCCCGATGCTCTCTCTCTCTCATAGACATCAGGATCAAGCGAGATACATACGTTGATAATTTAGAAAAAAAAAAGAGAAAAAGAGGGAAAAATTACGAGAGAGAAGAGAGACGGAAGAGAGAACAATGAAAATTGTGCGAGCGATTCAAAATGAGAGATTCATCGATCTGACGTTTCAATATCGATGACTGTTTCCACAGCGGACAAATTATTAACGCACATACATATATTCCAATTACATAACTCTTCTTTTCCAACGAGTGAATTTTCCGCTGACGTTCATCCTTTCTTTTCTTCGTCCCTTCGTTATACGAGAGTAGCCATCTAACTCTAAAGCCGCCAGCAAAGCGAAGACATTTGGTAGCTGACTCAACATCGAGCAACAGATAAACTCTCTGTAAACTTGAAGAGGGAAGGCACATCCCAATATCTTGTCGCGATAGCAAATCCTTAAAGCTAACATCGATTAACGATAATATCGTTAGCGTTCGCTTCCTGTTGACAAATTTAATTCCATAAGATTAATCTGTTGCATTTTTAGATTATAATACGCGGTCTTCTAAATATTTACATCCCTTTAATCTGTTTAATTAATTATACTTTTTTATTAGATAATATTAAATAAATTGTGCTTGAACAATATGATCAAATCCAACTCTATATGAAGTCATATTAAATTATCCTGATTTAGCAATTTCTTTTTTGCATGATCTTAAGAAAATATACAATTTTTTTTCTCTCTATTCATCTATATATAATTTCAAAAATATCTCAAAAATTACAAAAATTTTATATTTAAAAAGACACAGATATTAGTATTAAAAAGAAAAAAGAAATCATATTTTTTTTACTCGTCAATAATGCTTTAAATTTGTTCGCTTTATACTTTATTAAAGCATTTCACAGTGTTTGCAATATTTTCTATTTTTATAGATTATAATTATTTCTAAAATATAGATAAAAAAATTAAATAGGATTAAACAATCTTATTGTTAATATGATCAGATTTAATATCAGATAAGATCAGAATTAATATGATAATTTAAATAAAATAAATTAATAACATTTTTTTAATGTTACAACTCTAATTAAGTATATCACATAGAGAGAGTGGCTTTGATTGTTGAAATAAACCATTTTAGATCACGGATTTTTAATCCCTTTTCTTCTAGATTATGTTCCCAATATACATAGAAATAAATTTAGCCACAATGTTTGATCATGCAAATCTTAATAGATTAGACTAATAATAATTTAACCGTTTTGTTGCATTTTCATTTTAGATTAGACTAATAACTTAATAGTTTTGTTGCTTTCGAAAATGATTGACTTAATTCCACGCTTTCAAACAATATATGTAATTTTCAATTGTTATGTTTCAAGCTTACTATGAATTAAAGTTTACCTTATAAAAAAACGAAAAAGGCTACACACTGTTTTATATGCATGTGAAAATTCTTTCCCTTTGTAGATATTATATATTAAATATTAAATATTTGTCTAAACACATTCAAATCTTGTCAAAAAAAATTTCCCAAATTTTTGTTCAAAATTCCAGATAAAGAGAATATTTAAAGATATTTGATGTACTTTATATAAAATAAGATTTTTCATTGTATGCGCGTTTTCCAATGTTTTTCATTCATATGATGAAGAAACACAGATTATTTACATTTCAAATACTAGATTTACAAATGTACTGACAAAATTGAATAATTTTCATAAAATAAACATTTTTCACTTGCATAACATATTCATTTCTTTGTCACTAAACATTAAAAGGAAGAATATGTATTACATATTAAATATTTTAAGACACTGAATATATGAACAGAGACAGATATATATTTATAATATATTTTAAATACCTAATTCACTATTTCACTTATTGGAGGACTGTCAACTGCCTTACAATAAAAAGCAAAATTATCAAAGGGAGAATTACCTGATTTTTTTTATTAAAAAAATCCAAAAAAATTCAGTTTTCCAGAGTAGACATCCTATAAAACAAGATTATCGAAGAATCTTTTTAAAAATTGCTCGAGATCCATTAAAATTTCATTCCTCTGATTTCTCTTGACACAAAAAAAACTTGAAGAATCTCAGGCTTTCCACATATTTCCAGAGAGTAGACACCCTAAAACTGCCAAAGAAATAAAAAATGTTTCGGGCCCTATTAAAATTTCACGAGAACTCTAATTTTTCCAAGTCCAAAAAAAAATCGCTCGAGATGTTAGGCTCGTTCCCTTTTTTCAGCGAGCGAACACTGTTATTAGTTGAACAATGTTTCCCATTCTCGTCGGTATCTTACGGCGATATTGCACGTTTTAGCGGAAACCGATCGTCTCGACTATGACACAGGACACGGGCTCGTCATCTCGTAGTTTTTCTCATCTCGACGAGTCCGTTCCTTCACACGTATATATGTACATTGCACACGTACCATGCACGCGAGTGTAAATGTACATATGCACGGAATTCGTACAAATACGTACCTAGAGATACACGGTCGTATGCGTGTGTGTTCATGCATGTAACACGCGCCTGTGGATCGTATAACGTGCGGATCATTACAATCGATTCAACGTAACAGGAGCGTACACTACGTAAGTCGTCGATATTATCGATACACAATAATATACTCTCTACACAGAGAGAGAGAGAGAGAGGGGGGGGAGGAGGCGAGGAGGGAGAGGGGCAGGGGAGGAGCGAGAGAAAATTACAGCAAGCTCTCCACATGTGTGAAGCTTGGAAAGAAGCTAAAACCAATTGAAAATTTCCAAGCTTCGACGTGCGTATCGCGGTACAATTGCCCCGACAATGACACGAAGATGATGATGTCGATTTCGAGACGTCGAGCGAGAGGTGACGTTAGCGTGGAGACGACGAGGACCTGCGTAAAATCAGACTGGCAGAAGGATATTTTCGCACGAGTGACATTCACGAGAGATACATACTTACGTACCTACGCTCTACGTATGGACAAACATTTCTCTCTTTTTCTCGAGCCTTCTCATACCCTCTCTTCCCCATCCGTCATTCTCCCTCTCGCTCCGCCTCTCTCTCTTTCTTTCTCTCTCTCTCTTTCTCTCTCTTTCGCATCCTGCTTACGAATATAGCGCATACGGATCGTCTTATCACTCTGAGAGTCTCGTTGCTTTACCTCGGAAACGCTGTCCTCCTCGCTTTCCGACGAGTCAGTCATAAAACGTGGTTGCAGCTCGGAGAAGGTCTCGGTCTCCGACTTCGTGGGGCTCGAATTCGACGATTGGGGAGTCGACGATATCTTCCCAGTCTCGTAGCGAACGCCCGTTGCCGCTGCCGTTGACGCCGCAGACTGCTTTTCGTGGCTTTTCTGGCTATCCGAGGTCGTTCCCTGTACTACATTCTGCATCTTTACTCTCCAGATAAATCATATGATTAAACACAGTTACTGCCGCTACTATCGGTGATAACGCATTAACGCGCGGTCGAAGCCACACCACACCGTGCACTCGCCCCTCGTTGTTTTTCCTCCCTTATTCCCCTTCACGATTTTGTGCGCGCGCGACAATAAATCCCGATCAACGACGAACACGATCGTCGTCATTCACGTAAGCTGGTAACCGCCATTTTCACTATGGCCGACACGAGAGGAGTCCCGAAAACTATTTCTCTCTCTTCGCATGCAACGGTTGAAGCCTCTAATGATTCTCGCGATCTCCGCGATATTTCGCGAATCGCAGCGTCACCTCGCGTGGCGCGAAAATTCAAGCGACGAGTGAGCGCGTTCGCCGCGGGCGTTGATCCTTCCTGAACATTTATTTGGAAATTTCAAAAATCGAGAACTTTTTTTATTACTTTCTTATTTTTAATTATAATTTTAAAATGTTATTGTAATTAAAAATCCATCAAATTAATGATAAGTATGTGTTCGATTAATTTACGTATATTAATTTTACTTTTTCTGATATTAGATTTTATTGTAGATAACAATTTGAGAACTAGAAGATTGTTATTTGTACAAATAATAATATTAATATATTAATAATAATGATAAAGGAGTTTGTTTAAATAATAATTTTATTTTTTTTAATAATAAAGTTATTTGAGAGAAAAATTTTGAAATATTCAGTATATTCAATTTTGTAAGCGTATATATTCAGTTTTATTTTTTAAATAATAGATTTTATTATAAATAAAAATTATAGATAAATAATAAATTGTTATTCTTTTTAATCATAATAACAATAATAGAGATTATTTTATTTTTTCATGACTGACAAATATCTTATACAATTATTACAATTATTGAAAATTTTATTTTATTGCACATTGTTGAATTTGTCATAAAATATCTTACAAAACACACTATAATAAAATGTATATATTATTTTGTTAAAAATAATAAAACTGTTAAATGGACATTTAAAAAAATAATTTGATATTTTCGTTTAAATCTATATTATTATAACTATATTATTAAAAAAACGGATTTATTTATTTAAAACAAACTCATTTTATATACTTTATAGAGAAAAGTATAATTATATTTTTTAACTTTAATGTTATATCCATTATGAAGATAAAAGATATTTTGCTTTTTGCATAAAAGATAAATGTATAAATTAAAAAAAAAACCAACTATATCTATAAATTCATTAAATATTTTTCTTACATATATTATTGAGTATAATTTTGTCACAATTGAATCTGATTGTTCCTTTTTTTACAAGCACAAAACATTCTCCTTTATTAAAAAAAAAATAATAAAAATATATATAGAAAGTCTGATAATAGTTGCCTCATCCATCATGTGCTGATAGAGCGACTAAATCGAATAAAAAAAGTCTCGTATCATTTTGTGATTTCCACAATAATTAACTAGATATTAATTTATAAAGATTAGCCAATCCGCGCGACAGCAAAATTGTCCCATTTTAACATGATGACACGTGGCGAAATGGTGGGAGAACGCTCTTCAAAACACAATGGCGACAACGATGAAACTCTGCGGTGAAGCAATAAGAGGCGTAGCTAGACTACAGGACGTACGCGATAGGCGAGCCATCGGCATAAAGCATGCGCTATTCATATGTAAAATGGTCGTTAAAAAAAGAACAATGAAGACGACCTGTTACTTAGAATGCTTAGAAAAAAAGAAAAATGGCCGTTTTCATGCTTTATCTCTTTCAATTTTTCCGATTATTATTATTTAATATATTGTTTATATACGGATACCGCTTTATGTTGATAGGCGTGCCAGAGTAGCCAGAAACGAGTGCATGGCAACGAGAAGAGATGATGTATCTGTTCAGTTTACTCGCTCACAAACATTGGCATAATCTTTACAACATCCTATATACTCCAAATATATTAGATATGAATAGAAATATGTTAATTATTTAATAAAATTTATATGAAACATTTTTACACATATATATTAAAACCTTATAAATAGGTAAATCTTATTGAAAATAAATCATATATAGAATATAAATATATTTTTATCACAAGTTTTATTTAAATATATTTTATGATATTTGTTTGTATTTCAACAAACATATTATGAATTAATTACCTTTATAAAAATGGTTCAATGTTTATTTCCATAGCAGAACATGGAACATTTAATTCAAACTTTGAAAGTACATTGGGATGTAAAACTCCCATTTTTCCTATTACTTCACCATTGCAAACAATTTCAGCACATCGTTGAGGGAAGAATGTTGGGTCTGTAAAAATATAAATAATAAATTCCTATTATTTATGAAATAATTCTTTTGTATTTATAATTGAGATTAATCTCAATCATATTCTAAAAAAGGATAATGAAACTATCTTGTACCATCAGCTGCATGCAAATAATATCCGCTTTTGTCTTTGTTAGTGCTCCAGGGTACTTCTAGTAATAATAATATTCTATCTACTAAGCCATGAATGATTTCAAAACCAGCTGATTTATTAGCATATACTGCGCATAAACGACGATTATTACGCGCACCAACTTCTGTCTTATCGTCTCGTAATACAACATCAGAAACTTCAAACAATTTATGAGGCAACGGCATTTTCTTATTAGCAGATATCGTTTTCAGTAATCCTGGTAAGAGTGAAGTACGTGCAACCTGCAACGATTTTTGCATTCAAATATTTTAAATAATTTTACACAGGACTTAAATTATAGTTCAACTTTGATCTATGTGCCTCTATTCTCGATCATTTTTAAATCAGTTAAATCTTTGTTAATTTAATCTCTCTTCTTACATTGCTTTCCTATTATTTTATAATTTAATCATATAGCAAATTCCATCAGTTTCTCGCAAAATGAATTGCACATCCAAAATGTTGCTTATATTACATGTATATATTAAATTAGTAGAATGAATAAAAGTTAAAAAAAAGAGAACTTACACAGAAAATACGAGAAATTATAAATTACCTGAAACTCCAAAGTTTTTGGATTAGATATATGAACTGCTGGTACATCTTCTATTTTATAACCCAATTTATCTGCTACATCTTCACGTGAACACTATAAAATAATATAATTAAAATCCATAGAATCAAAGATATAAGAATTTTACTAAATATAAAAATATAAAAATCTTTTTTAATGTACCAGAGAAAAAGTCAATGCCTCGGTAAATCCTGCCTCTGCAAGTTCTATTCGTATCTGGTCAGTAAGTTTGTTGAGTGGAAACTGAAATTACACATGTGTATATAAATTATATATATATACACATGCACACATACACACATCTCAATACATTAAATTATATTTAATTAAAAAATATCTTAAGTTTACCTCTGCTGCAATTGTTGACATATGTGGTATAGTTTTTTCTATTTCATTGTATCCATAGGCAATGGCAATATCTTCATAAATGTCACAAAGATGTATCACATCGTGTCTTGTTGGTGGTATTTCTACAACTAATTTATCATTATCCTTTACTTTAGATTTTAATGACATCTTTGACAATAACTGTGCAATCTGTTCTGGTGTCTGTCTACAAAAACATATTTTATTTTATATCAAGTTTAAAATGTAACCATCTTGATGTTTACTATTAACATAATAGAAATGTCTAACTAATAACTTCTTTACTTACTTAATACCAATATAATTTAGTGCTTTATTACAGTTAATTTCTTCCACTCGATACTTTAAACTTGGGTAATAAAAAGTTTGATTATCAGGATATACCACTTCTACAGTTTCAGCTACATATTTCTTGCTGCAATACTGACTGAAAGCACAGACTATAGTGTCCACTGCGATTCTTGCCTATAAATTTATTGTATACAAAAATATATGTGTATACATATATATATATATATATATATATATATATATATATATAATTATATATATTACTATTAGTTACTTGTATTTTTAAATCACAAAATGTTTAAAGGATATTATTATTACAAATAAAAATATATGGAATGTAAAGAGAATAATACAATATACATATACCTTTGTGAGATCAGTTGCAGTGCATTCAATAAAAATATTTTTTGTATTAAGAGTTATCTTTGAATGATCTCCATTAATGATAGGAGGAAGAGACAAAATAATTCCATTACTATCATATATCACTGGATAAACAGGACTGTCTTTTATGATGGGCAAATATTGCTTGAGTTGCGAATGTGTCTGTAAATACGTTAAATTACATTAAATACATTAAATTACAAACACACATACACACAAACGTGCGCACACACACACATATGTATGTGTATGTAATATAGTGATTATAAATATTTGTCATATATATAATATTATGATAAATGTTTGTATGTATATAAAACTAATACTTGGTAAACTGGAATACTTACTGCATACAATTGCATGATGCCTTCACCTGTATATTCTTTGTCCTGATTAAGTGGTTTGAAACATATCTCCGTTGGTGGTTTGGCATCATATAAAAATGGGCCTTTAATTGTATCTAAATCATGAGTACCAATAGAAACTAGACTGCGCTTTCTTCCTATATTTTGATGCAATTTATCTTGAAGATCAATAAAACTATTGTAAGAATCTTGTGTCAAAGTTACATTACGCAAAATTGCTGCAACTATGTGGCCTCTTATTTTTAAGCACTAAAAAATAATTCTTTAATATCAAACAAATTGTGATATAATTTTCTATAAATATTATACATACTTCTGGACTCATCACAATTTTTTCTATTCCTGTTTTTGATTTTATTGTCTTATAATGTGGAATAGGTATCCTGTTCAAAAGGAAAAAAATAGATTTTATATATTGTTTTAATTGCAATATTTTAAAAAAGAAAATAACAAAAGGAAATTAATAAAAGCCAAATGTAAAGAAGATATAATAAATAATTATCTTCAAGAAATTCCTTTAATTATCCAAATAATTTTAGTTCCTTTTATTTTTCCATTCAAATATTCTAAAATTAAACAAATTTTGAATCAAAAATTTATCCTAAACATTTATCTTGATAATTAAAGGAATATTTTATTAGTTTATTTCATTTTATTAACTCATTTAATTCTTATTAGAAAATGTTATTTTTTTTTAAATAAAAATCTTCGCAAAAATCATAAAAAATATTTAAATTACTATATTTACTATATTTACTTGTTCAAAAAGATAAGTAGTCCAACACTTAAACTCTCTAAGCACAAAAGGTCATATCTGTTAGCAGGTATATCAATTTTATAGATGATATCTTCAGATGCATCTTCTTGACTAGAGCCTTGTTCTTTCGCTATCATTTGTTTTTCTGTTGTCTTCATGAATAATTAAGTAAATATTACAAAACAAAGCATAATACAACTATAAATCATAAAATAGTTGACTTAAACTTACCACCTCATCTAATTCCAAACCAAATTTGAAACACAAATCTTGAAATTCATCATCAGCTGAAACAGAAGTTTTTTTTTTAATTTGTTTTAGAGAAATATATCAGTATAATATATTATATATATTCATATATAAACTTGATCTTTTTATATCTTCTAAAAATTTATATATATAATAGCATAAATAAAAATAATAGTAATAAAAAAATTAACATATTTATAATAATATATGAAGGTAATAAAGGAGCATTTTATTTATATTACTTCAACACATAACTTGTGACATTGTAGAAATTAAACAAAAGTAAGCGCAATATAATTTTTATTTTACAAAATTTATATTTATTTAGATCAGTGTTTCTCAAACACTTTAATTATTTTGCAGCAAAAATTTAATATCAATAATAATAAAATTTTATATGAGCAATTAATTTAAACTATTTTCACTTAAAAAATTTAACTTTAGACTGTAGTTTTTTAATAAAAGAGTTCTTATGAATATGTTTTTCTCAGAAAACGTATTTCATTCCTTTTATGATTTTATTTAACGATCCCAAGTTCGAGAAACATTGATTTAAATAATATATAGAAGTTACTTACAATATGTTTTATCCAATGCTTGAAATAATAAATCACGTTTTATTCCAATAGTTGGCATCTTGATATTAAAGTAATTTCTCTCGATAAGCTTCAATATTTTTAGCTCCTTTTTTTATGAAATATTTAATTTCTTGTTAATTCTTTTGGTTTTTCAATTGTTCATCCATTTAAAGATCTATGATCTGTAATTATACAATCGATTTTGACAGGTTATGAACATAACAATTAAAGGAATTCAAATATATTATTTTGATTTCGAAATTATTAAATTTTTTCGATAATCCTGTTTATATAATAAAAAGAATTTACAATTTAAAAAATCGCTCCATACGTCAAATTAATGTGTAATTTTACTATATTTTGAATGGACATAAAAACTTTGACACGTGAAAAACTTTAGAGACACTTCGATCAAATTCGACAGCAATCGTGTAACTTTTTCCCTAGAGAAAAACGTCAAAATGAAAAGTTTCGGTGAACTCTACGGTCGATATTCCTAGGATACGTTCCCAATTGTGATGTTTTGTATGGTTCGTTTGACCTGACCGGGGATAATTTACTAGACGTCATTGTCCAATCACAGCCATTCTTCTAAAGAATGTAAGCATACATTCTCGACCAATCACAGCCATTCTTCTGAAGAATGTAAGCATACATTCTCGACCAATCACAGTCATTCTTCTGAACAATGTATGCTTACATTCTTCAGAAAAATGGTTGTGATTGGTCAATGATGTCTAGTAAATCACTCCGAAAACGCCATATTTTTTCTATAAAACAAACTCTCTTATTGGATATCGTATCGGATGTCGTACATCAAAAACGCAGTGTAAATCCTGCATTAAAGAAACGCAGTATTATAGTTCACGATTCTTCGTAAGAGGTCTCCATAGTCTCTTCTGTTGACCTATAATTGGGTATAAAAGTCAAAACGATAGTTAGCGAGTTGGAGTTTTGGAGCAATATTCTTGTGTTATTGTATAAGGGACGAAAAGCTAGAAAAACAGAACAAAACATAGTGTAAATATGTTAAATCAGGCGGTAGTCGAGGCTCTGTACTCGGCGACATATATCGAAAATTACTTGGATTGCGTAGAAAATCTGCCCAACGACTTGCAGAGGCATGTTTCTCGTTTGCGCGAGCTGGACGCCACTTGTCAAAGTAATTTGAATCGAATTATTATCTCGAAATTCGATTATTCGGCTATAATAATCAATCAGATGATGCACTAATACTTACACAAGTTTTTGAAAAAATGTCTTCACATATCTTAACTATTTTTCATCAGTTTTCCAAACTTGTCTCTATGTGTGAATACTTTTGTATAAAAAAAATTAAAATGTTATATTACACTTTACCTGCGTAAATATTGCAGATTTTTTATGAATATTTCTCAAAATAATTATTATATACCTTGCTTGAAATAGTATTTCTTTACTATGTTGTTTTATGTTTACAGCATATTTACGTGAAGTTGATCAACATCAGGAAACATTACAAAATGATACAGATCCTGTGATAAAAAGGAGAGCATTACTAAGAGTACAACAAGCTCTGATTGCAGCACAAGAAATAGGAGATGAGAAATTACAAATTATTCAGCAAGTACAAGATCTTATAGAGAACAAATCTAGGCAGTTAGACTTAGATTATCGAAACTTAGGTATATTATTTTGTTTTTCAATCCTATTTGATCGATATTTATATTAACAATATGTACCATCTATAACATATATTTCCAAAATAACTAACTTTTATTCTTTAATAGATTTTGGAAAGGAACAAGAAAACTCTGAAGTTCGTGAATCAAACATGAGCAACAATTCGAATACCACAAGCCATGCAAATATAGAACGCCATCCAAAACGTGCCAGAAGAACAAGAACTGAAACCTTGATAGAATCGGCTCATTCCATGGATATAATGGGTGGAATGGCAGAGACGAGGTCTTCAACAATGTCTAGCATAAGCAATGGAAATCAAAAGAAAACAACAACGACTGCTACTGGTAAAAAGAAGAAGCGAAAATCACGTCAAGGCACTCAACAAAATCAGCATCGCGAGGATACACCACCGCCACCGGAAGACGATCTCGCGATAGATCCTGACGAACCAACTTATTGTTTATGCGATCAGATATCATATGGCGAGATGATTCTTTGCGACAATGATCTGTGTCCTATAGAATGGTTTCATTTTTCATGTGTTTCTCTGACTACTAAGCCTAAAGGTAAATGGTTCTGTCCAAAGTGTCGTGGTGATCGACCTAACATCATGAAACCTAAAGCGCAATTTCTCAAAGAGCTAGAAAGATATAATAAGGAGAAGGAGGAGAAATCATAGCAAGAACACGGCGAAAAAATTTGAGTTTCGTAATCGAATGTGTAATTAGAAAATTTCTAGTATTTTAATTTTGAACCTCATGTGTATATTAAGAGTGCATTCTTCGAAATACTGAGTTATATTGATTTCTTTTCACGAAATCATGATCTTTTAATTGTAGAAACATATTCAAATGTTTCTCTTGCATTTAAATTATAAAGCAGATAAATATACAGGTAAATAAAAATATTTGTGCTTGTACATAATGTCATATTAAACGAATCACAAATTTTATGTTTAAATATATTTCCTTTATTTTAAATGGACTTTGTTTCCCTCCTTTTCTCCTACTTGTTCTCTCTCTCTCTTTCTCTCAATAGAATTGAAATAACTTTGATATTCTTGCATAAGCATTTTCATCAATACTAATAGTTGCGCACCTCTTCATATTTTAAAAACTAAATCACGTGATATCGCGTGCAATATTTGGAGAAATCGGATAACTCTTCTTTTTTTTAGAAATTCTTCGCTAATATTGAAAAAGTTAGTAAAGAAAAGTAAAGAAAAATAAGAGTTTTTGCAAATACTTACAAAGTAATTGAATTACTGAAAAAAATTTAATATTTAATATTTAAAATACAAAATTATATTAAATATATTTATGTTTAAATTATATATATTATTATATTTTATATACTATAAAAATTTATACTATAAAATTAAATTTAGATTTCATTTATTTTTACTTATGTTTACTCGTTTTTATTTTTAAATTATATTATATTAATTATATTAATATTATATATCATTATATATTAATTATATATTATTTTGTGTATAAAGTATATATTATATTAAATATTTAATCATTAAAATACAAAATTATTATATTAAAATTATTACACTTTATATTAAAAAGACAGAAAATACATATATTAATTCATTATGAATATCTAAAAAATTTACTCATCAGTTTTTGTAAAAATTAAATCAGCTCAAAGTACTTCATACATGTTTATGTATTTTATATAAGTTATGATAAAAAAATAATAAAGAATTCACAAACATGATGTAATTCCTTCTTTGTAATATTTGATATTACTACTAATTATATTCGTTCAAAATTAATAGACTACCAATCGAATATAATAAATGATTACACTTTTTTATTATATATTTATTATTACATGATAAAGGCACTAAAAACAAAATGACAAACTATCATATCCTTTAGTGTATTTTTCCAAATTTATTTACATTTATAAAATAGTAAATCGATTTTGCTCTGCAAAGATTTCATGAAGACATTTATTTTATTCTTTACGAGCACATAATGTCAAGTTATAGAAGCAAAAATAATATGTATTGAAAACTTATAAATAACAAATCACACAAGAAATAAATGGCTCTACAAAATTATCCAATTGGTTCTAAGAAAAATTATAGAAGATGATTCTGTATTTCTTAATGATTGCATTTTCTTTTTTTTTTTTCTTTAACAAAAAGTGTATTTCTTTTGGACGCTTACATACTTTAAGCTTATATAGAAATTGCTTACATCGTTCCCTTTGACATTGCTCATAGATGGTATATGATGTCATAATTCTGCTCACGAATGCTTATTTCAATGATAGAACAGCCAAAGCGTAAATGCTCATGCTTATATTTCAAAGGGAACTCAGGTACACTGTAAACATGGATAATGAAATAGAAATAATGGAAATAATTTTTAAACAAATCATTTTCCTTAAAAATGAGAAAAGTAATTAATTTTTATACTATTTTTATATTTCAATTATTTTATAATATTTCATTCCAGATGAAAAATATGTAGAAATTGATAAATTCATTAAATATAATGAAAAATAAATATTATAAATTCATTAAATATAATTAATATTTATTAAGAACTTATTAATTATTATTTATATATAATTAATTATTAAATATTTAAATATAATTAATATTTATTAAGAATTTATTGATATTTATTTAAATATTTATTATAATTTAACACAAATTTTTCATCGTCAAAAAATGTCTAAATTTAAAATTTAATTTAATATAGAAATTAATTCCTTTCCAATCACCGACTTTGCTTGCTCACCTAAGAATTTAAGCAGCAAACAAGACGGTTAAAAATAACGCTTATAAGCGTAGGCGTTCAAATCGAACGTACCCCTAAAGTTAGAGTCGTACAAATTTGTTTCGTCGTATTCTATATGAATTTTGAATTAATATATGGAATGTTCGGATCATAAAATATCAAAGGATATTACATATATATACAGAATTTAACATGTGTAAAGACCACATTACTATTATTATATAATATACGGGAGAGAGGATGAACACAATTTTAATATTAAAGAAATTGCGAGACATTTTTTTACGAATCGTGAAAAGCAATATATACTTAATGTCAGCGGGAATCCTCCGTGTGACTCTCTTGAAAATTCAGCCAAGATTGTTCGACTACAGTAGCCACTCTTTTTTCATATTCCCGTTTGTTTTCTTGATACAATTGTGCTGCTAAAGAATTGGCTGGCGAATTAGGATTCGGTTCGTCCAAAAGTGACTGTAACATAAATAATCAAGAATTTCCTCAGCAAATTCACTTTAATTATATTTTTGATCCGTGACAAAGAAGTTGGAAATATATATAAGTATGATAAATATATATAAGTATAAATAAATAAATAAATATATAAATAAATAAATATATATAAGTATGTACAAGCAGGATAGAGAGACAGGTTGTGGAGAGAAAGAGAAAGAGAGAGAGATAGAGAGAATAACGAACACCAGGCTACAATTATATCAAGTTATAAAGAGAAAAATTACGCATTTATTACTTCATTATATATATCTATATATAAATGAATTTGTGTACATGCTGAAATGTATATTAAAGTACACTAAATTCAATTAAAGTTATATATATAATTCTACGCCGCTCAAAAAATAAAAATAAAATGAAAAAAAAAACCAACGAGAAAAGAAAAGCCAAATGTATTTTTTAATTCTAGGTTTTAATAACTAATTTCGTGTATCACCAGATATTCGAAATAAATAAATACACAATTTTATAATAGTTTATTATTCAACATTGTAAAAATTCGGTCTAACGTTGCACATTGTCGTGGTAAGTTCGATAAAGCTCTCAGGAAGAAACATGCCAGATCTGTATATTTTTTTCTTTTTTAGCATTAGCTTCTTGTAGTATAAAACTACATGTTCTTCTCCTTTCCATTTGATGGTTGTTGACTGGCTGATACTGTTACAGCAACAGCATTATGTTAACGCCCATAACTAATCCACAAAACTTTGTTCCACGCAAGCCTTCACTCGCTTCTCGTACTCGCGTCGATTCTCTTTGTACAGTTGTGCTGCCATTGAGTTGGCAGGTGAATTCGGGTTCGGGTCACTTAACAGCGACTGCAATCACATAAGTCGTACCTTATTATACTTGGAAGAATAGTTTTATTATTTTTTTGACAAAGTGCGTAAATCTGACAATATGCTTTTTATTTTTTCTTCTTCTTTTTTTCCATTTGAGTAATTAATACAGAAAAACCAAAAATGCATATCGACGGACAGATTAAAGATAGAGTTATCCCAGGTGGCAAATACACCTCATCTGGTGCATACATTTGCTATCTGAGATATGTATATATGTGAAATTATTAAAGTGTTATGCACAAATAATTTTTAATTGGAATCATGTGATTAGACTTTGCTGAATTGCAACCGCTGTTAAGATAAAACGAATAATCCCTTCACAAACATATTTTTTATCACATAACTAAGAACACAAAAAAGTAATGTTTAAAAAAAGGAATGTATCAATGTATATAAATAAGTTTGTCAGAACATAAGATTGCACATAATAGGAATATAAGAGATTGTATAGATTTTAAAATGTAAAACGTATTTAATGTGAGAGTTATAAGATAAAGTTATTATATATTTTGTACTATGGTATGAATTTTTATTAAAAGCCATGCAAAATACGTTTCTGACTATCACACAATTCATGAATAAAAATATTAACAGTAGGATATATTGTTACTAATTGTAAATATTAAACTTATAAATACTAACTGTGTATGAAATAATATCAAATTATAAGTTTGATGATTGCTTCGTGACATATTTGATAAAATAAATAATAAAATATTAAAATAATGCAATCAAGAGATTTTGATGTCTAGTACTTGTTATGGTGACACTCAATGGTGAAACTCTGTAATGTTTAAAAAAAGAAATATATCTTTTTTTACATAGATAGCTATATAATTATCAATAATATAAATCAACTACTTTGTTTTATGAAAAAAATAGAAAGAGTGTCATGAAATCTTTTTATAAATATGAGTCATGAAATCTTTTTATAAATATGCATTAAATAGTACTAATGCTTTTTTGATTACATAATTTAAATTTTTTTTGTAATCATGTTTTGTAATGTTGTCTTTCTCTGCAATTTTAATTATATCTCCATTTGTACATTCAAATAATAAAAATTTTACATCTTGCTATGTATAAAGAAAAAGAAAAACCATTATCTTATATATATACAAATGTAAAAAACATTATTATGTTTCATGTGCGATATACAGAATGAATTAGGAAACATAGAACAATCAAAAAAGGGATTATACAAAAATAAATCGAAAATGTAGAATAAAATTTTTTTTGATATGAGAAGATTAACTTTAAAACTAGGAAAATTCATAATATATTTATTTAAGCTTGAGTAATTTTTAATAACTATATTTTATCACCAAAATCTCGATATTAACTATTAATATATAAATATATAGATAAATCTATAATATATTTACTATATAAATATGAAACAAACATTTTATTTAATAAAAAATAAGTTATTATAAAAGTTATGCATAAAGATAAATATAATCTTACTTATTTCTGACTTCTTTTTGCACAATCACTTTCTTTCTGATTATATTTGTATTATATTTTCCACACAGCTCTTATCTTGTACATATCATGAAATATTATTAAATGTTATGAAATTTGTGTAAAATTGAGTTTTTGATTGATCACTTAAAATGTTACAAAAAATAAGAGTGTTGAAATATATCTTAGTATAAAAAAGAAAAAATGACACACCTGTATAGATGTTAAAATGGCCGAGACATCATAAGTAGGACTCCAACGATTTTGAAGTATATCGAGACAAATTCCACCATCCGCATACACATTAGGATGAAACATCTTACTAACAAATCTCACTGTAGGTGGCTTGTTTGGGTATTCTTCCGTAAATTCTATTGTAAGTTTAAATGTACCATCTTCAAATGGAGTGTCGTGTGGTCTTAAAATAAATGTAAACATGATTAAATTATCTGAAACTTAAATCATATATTATATCTCTCATAATTTACACATATATATTTTATAAAATAAATTTCAGACAAAATTTTTTCGCTATCAGAAATATATTTTTCACTTAAGATAATGTTTTCTTGATTTGTAAAAACAAAATAAATTTCATCAAAGAAGAAACATTGTCTTACCCAAATATAACTGCATTCCATATCATAATATTATTGTCTGTTGGAGCACCTGATACTCCAGTTGGAGGATCTTCCTGTAATCTTTGCAAAAAATATAACTTTTACAATTTTATATTGCAAATGTACACATATATAATACACATATTCTCATTTGTATATATAAATTCATTTAATATTTATTATCATAATTTTATTGTCATATTTCATATTATACTTATATGTGTCACTTCATTCTAAAATCTAATAGATTACGTAAAAAACCAATAATTCGATTAATTGATATATTTGTACATGGAAAGAAATTTTTAATACTTTCATTATAAATTTTACAAAATATATATCTACTCCAAGTATTATTGAAACTTGTGTCACGATTGAAAAATATTTAACATTATATGCAAGAATGAATAAATATGTGAATCATTATTGAACTTAAAATATAATATCTTTCATATAAAGATTCACAGGAACCATTCTATAAATGACTAACTATATTATACTTGTACAATTACGCAAGAGAATTACAACTATTTGCTTATTAAAAGAGACAATGAAAAAGATTGTCTGTCAAAGGCAAATATGAAAGAGATACAATTAAGTTTTAATAATAAATATACGCTTGTACGCGTACAGGTCAAGAGGAATTGAATAAAATTCACAGTAGAAGCACTGCACTTCGCGACATAGTTTTACAACTAAAATGATATACATCAACAGTGGTAACATCCAGTACCTTTTGAAATCCCTCATCAATCTTCTCCTCGCAGGGGTGGACATTCCTTATATACCGGCCTCCCGGTTAACTCTCGTGTCCAAACAATGACAATGATGGATGCTCGCACGAGAGATGCTCTTTCTCACTTCTCTGATGTACTAGCGTAAGTGTAATATATGCGCTAACGAGGCTGATGATGATGACCAGGCGAATGACGACGGCGACGGCGACGGCGACGACGACGACGACGGCGACGGCGACGACGGCGACGGCGACGGCGACGGCGACGACGGCGACGACGGCGACGACGACGTCGACGACGACGAGGGCAGTTTTCCTCCTTTACGCTTCACGTACGTCGTCCGCCAGGAAGATAGGCTCGCAGAAGAGATCACAGCACCTGTGCAAGTGTACCTACGCACTTTTCCTTCCCTTCGGCGAGGGTTATTTCTGACGAGGACCCAGATTTGCGACGAGCACAAAGAGAAGTGGGATCAGCGGTAGGCACAAAGGGCGAAAGTGCAGGAAAATAGGAGACAGTCCGTCGTCCTTTTGCCTCTTCGGTCGCACCTGTGAAGGTCGCCCTGTTTCCCGCGATACTATTATAAGGACGAATTCGATCCCACCCTGACTGTAGGATGGCGATGACGATCACCTCGGCGCTTTCCCGACTTGGATCGAGCTGTGTGCGTGCGCGCGTATACGTATGTGCGTGTGCATGTACTTGTTAAGATGCGGCGCTCTTTAATTATGGCGAGGAGCCTTCGGCGAGACCTTCACGTTCGCGATAGTTTCTCGAGGAAATTTTCGTTGACTGCTGCCAAACGGTCACTCTCGACAGCTGGGCAGCGGACAGCGGGGTGGGGGATACGAAATAGGGCTGTGACGTCACCGGGAGATACCACGAGTGACGCGGAGCCAATCAATCTCCTGCTACTTGAGAAATAATAGATACGCGCGAGTTACGTATACATGATTGGTCATAACGTAAATAGAATTCTTGAGTGTTCCTCTCGAGACGTCATGCGATTGGCTGTCAAATGGAACAGTTTTCGAAACTCCAAAAATTCTCTATGCGATGACCAATTGAAATTAAAGTCCCAAATATTTTTCTGTTTAATAGTCATCATAAGACGTTGTATATATGTGTATTCCTTGCTAGAAAGTTCCCTCTATAATAAATAAAAAAAAAATAGAACAAGAGGGAGGGAGAGAGAGAGAGAAAATAATGACCTAATTTATACTGATTATTTAATATATAAGCTTCTATATATTATATTGGATTAATAACACGGCTGTATCTCATATGATAAGATGTGAAACTATTGACCTCTACACTGAAATAAGCCATTCCTTTATTTAGGCATGGAAAACGACACAAGATAGAAAAAGAGACACAGATAGCGTTTATTTATACTTGTTTTGTTCTAATGTTATCCTCAATGAAAAATATTTGCCTTAATTAATTTCAGTTGTTGATGCGATATGACACAATAATGTGCAAGAATAATAACAGTGTTTACTTATAAAAATATAATTATGTAATTAGGTAACTACTGGAATAGCCAGATGGCTATTTAGATTGGTCAACTCCGATCGCAACCTGTAGTGTGATTACAGCTTTACACAACTCCCACGATATCAATATGAACATGAAATACTATGAAGCAGAGAGAAGACTGAGAGATGTCATGGCCTGCTTTTATGTGATCCCTGAAAGCGACACTTCCTCTATGAACATTGAAAACGTGGACATGAACTACAAAATCATTGTCCATGAATGTGCACCTTATATATTATCCTCTGAGAATATACATGATTTCGTAGTTCACATTTTTGTCGACAGAGGATGGTTCGCTCTCAGGAATTTAAAAGTGGATCATTGTTCTTGTTTAATATATAAAAAAAAAGTGGGTCATGATACCTTTTACAATTAGTCTTTTCTCTGTCTACTATTTGATTGTTTTATTACGCTTTTACAAGGTCAGGTTCTATAATGTAACTTTTAATTTTGTATTTTGTATGAAATTATTATTTTAAACATAATAATTTTCTTTCTTTGCATTTCCATCATGAATAGACATTTCCAATCTTTACTATAAAAATATCCCTCAATTTTTTCTCTCTTCGGACAATTTATTTACATTTATATATAATTCTCTTTATTCTTTTAAAAGTGAACATCGAGAACAAGGTACACGACTATTGTAAATATCAAAAAATGATCGCGCGAATATTATAGTTGTGAATATATAAAAATAAATGCAATATACTATGAATTTTCTACGTTATATATTAAATCGAAATTGCACAAAACAGGAAAAGAAGAACAAGCCTATGAATAGACATTTCCATCTTTTACTAAAAAAAAAAAATTAAAAATATCTCTCAATTTTTTCTCTCTTTCTTCAGGCAAGTCTACATATATGACCCATATGATTAATTGATTCCATCTTTATATATTTATCATTATGTGCTATTAATTAAAGCCGTAGACAATATTCAGAAATCAAAGTTGCGCGCTGGAATGGCCATGCGCAGAAACGATTGCGCACTGATTCGGCCACCATGTTGGCGCGTGAATCGGAGTCATACGCAGTTACACGGATCGTCGTACGTCCGCATTTTTCGCATCTTTTAACCGTTTTTAAACGAACATCGCGAGTGAACGAGCGTCGAGAGTGTCCAAGGATGATCGCGTGACTTTCATAGTGTGTCGATGGAAACGCGCGACAGCGATTTTTGACGATATTCAGTGATGGCGTCATCGCGAAGATGGAGCGAAGTTGCGTCGCGTTATTCGCGCCCTTCATGATAATTATCGGATGCGAGCGAGTATCGGGAGTGTCGCATAAAGTGTCGCGCGTTCGCGTTGATGATATCGTTTGAATTTGTGTGCATCAAGATCGGAATGGGACGTTTCGATGCGAGCGAACTGTCCCGAGGAGGAGCGGCCTGTGGAACAGCCGCCTGAGTAGATTTGATTTATCATATTTGCGTGACAATTCGTGCTCATTCGACGCTTATACAGCATCGCCATGTCCCGAATTACATTCGGACAAATCGGCGCCGCATCATAATTCGATTCGGTGCAATTCAAATAAGTCGATCGCGTGAAGATGATTATGCTAGAAGCGATTTGAATTTTGTATACGCGCGCGCAGTGCTGCACAGCCTATCTCGTAGAGTTGCCAACTGTTAAACGATAAATTTGTTTGATCTAACCTAACCTAACCTCTCAGTGGCTTTGGATCTCGAATGTAAACACAAGCGTATGCTGCCTGGATTGTATCATGCTTTAAAAAATAATATTTAATTATTTCATTAGTTTATTACATTTTATTACGTAATATATTAATCGTATTAAATGTGCGACGTAGAGTTTTACACATTTTAATGAGTAGCATATAATATAATTGGTTAGGTTAGATTAAATTAAAACAAGCTGCTGTGATTCATTTAACGTAATAGGATTAATTTGACGAATGTGCAGCTATTGAAGTTACATGATATTTGTGGACACATTTTTAAAGTAATCATGAGTGTCTTATCACATCTCGATTACATGAAATTAAAATATAAAATATTTATGTATTCCACATTAACGTTATTCATTACAAGTACTATATTACTACATTACAAGTACTTTTCTTATATCTCAATCATATTCAACCATTTATTTCATCGATGAAGCTTTTCATATATCGCAGACAATATGATACTGCGTGTGGAATTTTACACAGGTAATACATGGCACAAAAATAATTTGCTCTCCAGTATTGTGTGCATTTCTCAAAAATAAATCAAATTAAATTATTTTCAGAATCCAAACATCGCTACATTGCCAGGATTGTATCTTATTATAACTGCGATATTATCACCTTTTAATATGTGTGCGCAGTATTACATACATAAAATATATAAATTTATTTGAAACGTACTGAAATCTTTATCTTATTTATAATATTCGTGATATTATAAAAGAAAATTGCAACTGTAATGAAACAGAGCGGTGGAATAATTGGTTGATTGGTTAATTGCAGGTAATTATGTTATACTTATATATCGTAAGAAAGAGAAAATAGAATAAAAGTTGAATACTGAATGTGCTCTAAAGTAAATCTCATCTAAATAAATAAATGCATAAATGTGCGCCCCACATTCCTCATGAAAAAAATACATAATATTAATCTTTATGTATTATTATTTTTCGATTTGTTTTTTATTCTTTTGAATTCTCTAGATACACTTTTCATTTCTCCTCTCTTTCTTTTCAACTACTGAATATAGATCTATCATTTTTAATATAGATCTGTCATTTTTAGTGTACATTATTGCAGTAAGTGGAATAAAGAGCAAATCTTTTGGCACATTTAGAATGTACAGGAAAGTCAGTTTTATCTGATGCGCTTTTTTCAATAGAAATATCTGAAAAAATTCATACGTCTTTTAATCTTAATCTTTCTAAATAAAAAAAAAAGAATAATAAATTTGCAAAATAATTTGCTTTAATATATTTTTATTGCAAACATATGAAGCAAAGTGCTCAAGGTGCATCACTATGAAAACATAGATAGAATAAAAAGTAAATCGTATACAAAAGAATTAAAATATTTACACTACATATTTGATATAGCATTTAATCGATATGTGCAGTAATACAATAAAATCTAATTTTCTCTCGAATTTTTTCACGAAATTTAAACTATTAGAAAAATATCAAATATTCAAATTGTTCAATAGTCTTGCGAAAGAAGCAATTCTCGCTTAAGGAATCTTTAGAAAAAAATAATAAAAAAATTCTAAAGAAAAAAAAAGGACAAAAAATTTTTAATCTGACATGGATATTTAATTTTATACTAATATTTTTAAAGTAACACTTCATTTATAAAGATTTTATTTTGTGAAACGTTTATACATAAAAGTACAATGATTATAAGGCTTCTTTAATCTATTGTTTCATCTTCGCATGTTTTTCGTCTATAAAATATTTGAGCTTCTGGATACTTTTCTCTGGAAGCTTTATGCAATGTGTGTAACATAAATCTGTTAACGTACAAGTATTAGAGTAACGGAATAAGTATATGTAATTTGATTAAAAATACGTTTCTTATATGAATTTTTAATTACATATTTTATTATACTACAAATAAAAAAAATCATGCTTGCGCGACGTGATTCTAACAATTTACCGACATGCACAAAATGATGACTTTACCGGCAGTCGAAGTATCTAGACTACGTAATTCTGGCGTTTAATCCGAATGCAGATGGCGATACTAAACAGCAAAAAGATGGCCGTATTGTGTGAAACGCGAGGCGCGAAATATTGCATTTCGTATATCAATTTATAATTGCATGAAGAAATCCATTGCTTCTAACTCTCCTTTGGCGGGACAATACGCGAGCAAAAATTAAAGTGAAAAAGTAAAGGAAAAATTAAGCAGCAGCAGCGGGCAGCGAGCAGCAGCAGCAGCAGCGGCCATTTTTTTTTTTTTTTAATTTGATACTCTTTCTTTTTAGTTTCGAGCTTTCGCTCATATCCGTCTTTTGTCTCTAATTTTCCTATTTCCCTACTTTTATGTTTAAGGATCCTTTTATTTAAACTTTATTCTTTATTTTAATTTGTTTCTCTTCTTATTCTAATTTGTTCCCTTCTTTTTCTTATTTTTTTTTTCTTTTTCAGAATTTGGATCTGCCAGCCGACATCAGCAGCAGCGGGCAGCGGGCAGCAGCAGCAGCAGCAGCGGGAACCAGCAGCAGCAGCGGGCGGCGAGCGGCAGCAGTAAAACAATCGAATCGTTCGTAATTCATATCATTAGCATAATATACTATGAATTTTCCACGTTATATATTGAATCAAAATTGCGCGAAAGAGGAAAAAAAGTACAAGCCTATGAATAGACATT